TGTAAAATAGTAAATCAGATAAGCCAAATAAAAACATCTCAAGTCATATTATCAAAGCCACTGAAGTAGCTTTTTACACTTAAAAAAGACTGATTTATGATACCCAATGAAACGTTCATCTCGATTTAGTATACAATAAGGAAGTAACAGCTTTTTTCACAAGCGTATATATTTGAACAAAATTGCCAAGGACTGTTTTTGCAATAAATCTTGATACATTATTGCAGAATAAAACTGATGATGCATACGATCGATTGGTCTTTTTTCTTTAACTAATTCTAAAAAATTATAAATTCTTAACTTTTGTTTAATTCTTAAATTTCGTTTTATCTGCCATATGATGTGTATATATTTACATGTGTTTTTGCATGTTAATTTATGTTGTAAATGTTTTCTTGTGATATTTTAACTGTGATAGTCGGTTTAAGAGCTCTACAGAGCTCATGTTTCTTGTTATGTAATGTATACAATGCCGACTTTAAATAAAATTTACTTAAAATTTACTTACTTATTAAATTTGTTGAGTTTTTTGAAAGCCATTTTAAAATCAAATTTACTCCTCAAACAATAAATAGGCAAAATTATATTTAAAAAAAAAACTGGATCAAGGTAAGACTAATAAAGGCATTCATTGACAGAAAGAGTCTTAATAAGAAAATGTAAGCTTAAAATTGTGAAAATTGTTAAATAAACAACCCAGAACTTTTAATTTTAGTTGAATAGAAATTATATACAGCTAAGAGCCGTGTGCTATTACTTGCGCTTCTATTGTGAAGTATGCTGAATGAAATAGATAATTTTGGTACTTTGTTTTACCTGTAATCTACTCGTATCATAAGAATAACGATATCTGGCATAATAAGTCATGGCGTGGGGATTGGGGGGGGGGGGGGGTCTCCAACTCTTTGGGATACCCGTAATGGTGCAAGTGCGGGATTACCTAAGTCCAATATACACGTCACACAGATTTTTCAGATATCAATAAAAAGTTACTTTATTAGCAATTTTCATTAGTTATGCAGGATATGAATGGATCTTAAACAAGAGGCCCATGGGCCTTATAGGTCACCTGAGTATCATGGAACAACTTTACATAGATTGACTTTGGTTCAGGTTTTAAACTAGATGTCATGGAATTCACAATTTTGAAAGAGGCACCATTGCTTATCATAACTAAACACTTAGCATGTTTATTTTGGTTACTCAATACCCATAGACAGAAAAGGGGAACAAAAAATGCATTTCGACTGATCAGTAATATTCAGCAATACTCACTATAGTGCCACTACCACACATGAACCCCTGACCCTTGGTCCACACATTTCACAAAATTTCACAAAAGGCACCCTTGCTTATCAAAAGTATTTGATTAATACAAAGGTGAGGATTTCAATAAATAAATTCATTTCCAGTATATAAGTAGAGCCCCCCCCCCATCTATGGCACCCCTGACCCAGGGGCGTTGAAATTCACAATTCAGGAAGAATGACCCTTGCTCATTACAGCTACATAGGTAGTTCCTCTGCTTAATACCCAGGAGCAGATAAGAAGAAACAAACAATTTTCAAACAATTTCTGCATTTTCTCTATAAATATAACCAATAGAGTCCTGCCCTAACAGAACCCCTGACCCTGGGGTCATAAAATTCACAAAGATATTCTTCCACATCAAAACTATGTACTTAGTTATTTCATTTAATACCCATGCAGGAACAGAGAAGACGATTTTTAAAGAAATAATCATTCTTCACTATATAATCAATAATCAATAGAGCCCCGCCCTAACACCAGAATCCCTGATCCTTGGGCCATAAAAATTCACAATTTTGGAAGAGGCATTCTTGCTCATCACAACTATATACTTAATTAATTCGTTGAACACTCAGGAGCAGAGAAAAAGATTTTCAAAGAATTAATGTATTTTCACTATATAATCAATAGTGCCCCACCCTAACACCAGAACCCTTGACCCTGCGGCCATAAAATTCACAATTTTGAAAGAAGCATTCTTGCTCATTATAACTATGTACTTAGTTAATTCTTTGAATATTCAGGAGCAAAGAAAAAGATTTTCAAAGAATTAATGTATTTTCTCTATGGAATCAATAGAGCCCTGCCCTAACACTAGAACCCCTGATCCTAGGGCCATAAAATTCACAATTTTGGAAAAGGTATTCTTGCTCATCATAACTACATACTTAGTTAGTTTACTTGATATACAGAAGCAGAGAAGAAGATTTTTAAAGAAATAATGCATTTCACTATATAATCAAAAGAGCCCCGCCCTTGCACTAGAACCCCTGACTTGCGGCCATAAAATTCACTATTTTGCAAAAGGCATTTTTGCTCATCATAACTATACAGCTCAACAAACTTTCAAAAATATTTTTTAGCATAATAGCAAAAGAACAAGGTAATGACAATGAACAGTATTCAATTTATTTTGTCAAGTTTACACGCCCTTTAAAAAACTTATTGATTTTTTAAAAAGACGCTCTTATGAATGATTTAAAGCAAAAACTTAAAATGATGCAACAATTAAAATGATTCTTCAATATCATTTTAAAAATTCATTTCCTATAGTTTCTGCAGAAGTATGTGAATGAAAATTTTAAAATCAATTACTAAAGATAGATATTTTTCAATGAACTTTCGTCATATATAATTTTCCCATCGGTTTCATCGGGATCTAGCAACAAAAATTTGGGCTAAAATGAAAAGAGAACTGTCTAAGATAAAACCCTCTAATAAGAAAGACATGTGGGGACACATACAACAAATGTGGTACACAGTCACGAAAGAATTTTGCATGGACCTTCTTCATGGCATGCCTGACAGAATAAAAGCAGTGATAAAAGCAAAGAGTGGAGCTACCAAATATTAATGTATAATGAATTTATCATCCAATAAGAGAATAAATAAATAGTTTTTCCCGCTAAGTCAATTTAATTGTCTTTTTATATAACGGAATTTTTTACCAATGTGGCCTTATTTTGTGGGGAAAACCATGTGAGTTTAAAAAGTTTGTTGAGCTGTATACTCATTTAGTTTATTTAATACCCAGGAGCAGAGAAGAAGATTTTTAAAGAAATAATGCATTTTCACTATACAATCAAAAGAACCCCACCCTAGCACTAGAACCCCTGACCCTGGGGCCTTGAATTTCACACTTTTGGTAGAGAACTCGATGGCCATTACATTCATGCAAATAGTTTGACTGCTTGATGTCCTGGAGTAAAGAAGAAGATTTTTAAAGATTGCACTAATTTTAGTGGTTTGGCCCCACCCCTCAGGCGCCAGGGGGGCAGGGACCATGAAATTCACAAATTTTGTTCTCCTTAACCTATAGATGCTTTATGTAAAATTTGGTGGAAATTGGTTGAGTGGTTGCAGAGGAGAAGTGAAAATGTTCAAATGTTAACACACGACGAACGACGCACCACGAAGGACGAAAACAGATAGCAATAGGTCACCTGAGTTAACTCAGATGACCTAAAAATATGCAAAACAAAATTTTTCGCTTATTTTTTTTGTCAACATCACAATTAGAATTTATCCGCCATGTTTACTGACTTTGACCGATTTTATTTTTGGCCAGCAAATTGAGATCTACGGAGCTGATCTATTTAGGATAGCCCTCATATTATAAATATCGCAGACATCACATGATTAAACACATTGAATTTGACGATTGTTAGAAATAGGATGACGGATGGCAATATGCAAATTTATGAGGAGAAATGTATATAGCATAAAGACGTTTATAAAAATCATGATAATATTAAGATATTGGCAAAGAATCAATTGGGAATAACTCTGGAATTGATTGTATATACATGTACAATGCATGTATGTGTAACTTATCATAAAAAATGAGAATTTTATTTTATGGTTCAGTCGGATAAAAACAAATTTTCTTAATCAAAAAATTAAAAAATAATTAGAAGAATAAATTAAATTCAAATTTCAATTACCTGTCATTTTAAATTAAAGTGAATGCTCTGTAGCGAAACCTACAGCCAAAAAAACTAGAAAATGAGGATAATATTGATATTTTTAAGGTCAATATGATGATTTAGACACCCGAGGAGTATAATATTCACTGAGTCCGCAAGGCGAAGTGAACATTGTACTTCGAAGGTGGCTAAATCATCGTGATGACCGCAAGAAACAGCAATAACCGTTTTACTATACGATTTAATGATAGCAAACTCCTAGAAGACTGTTTTTGCTGTAATTGAAAGTTTTGACGAGAAATTTCAACAAAAACACACTGTAGCAAGATACAGAAATAAATCATTGTATTGATCTGCAATAATTCCTTGTATTGACCTGGAAGATCACGTGATTCATTTTATTGACCTGCAATAATTCTTTTATTTTATGATAGAATAATTTTCCTCTCTATGATTGCATGGTTGAGATCCAACAATTTTAGAAAAATATTACGTTATATTGACCTGCACGTGACCTTCCAGGTCAATACAAGGAATTATTGCAGTCATTAAATTAATCACGTGACATTCCAGGTCAATACAAGGAATTTTTACAGTTAAATATAATATTCCACTATTCTTGTTACGTTTTCTAGCTGAAATTCTCGTTTAAAAAAAACTTTCAATTAAAACAAAAAACAAACTTGGTGTTTGCTATTACTTCATCATCATATATAATTATATATATAAAATAGTGCTGTTAATTGAGGTAAATACAATGATTCAGCGAATATTGTACTCCTCAGGTGTCTAAATCACAGTATTGACCTCAAAAACAGCAATAATTGTATAATATTGACCTGGAAGTTCACGTGCAGGTCAATATAATGTAGTATTTTTCTACCATTGTTGTACATGTATCTCAGCCAATCAGAATGAGGGAAATTATTCAATCATATAATAAAAACTATTATATATTTTGTAAATATGAAAATGGTACTAGTAAACTTTGGCAGATTCAGCATCCGCTACCGCCCTTGACATAAAATCATGAACAATTAGAAATAAAATAATACCTTTAATATTAAAATTAATTCAATTACAGTTATATTACAAAAGACAATAAAAGTCTATATACAATATACTCCTATATATAAATTAAAGTTGAATATTAAATTCCATCGTTTTATTTATAAATCTGCTGAAACCAAGATATAAAACCCTCTCTACACAGCATACTAAAGAGTTCAGATTCTATAGTTTTTTCTGCATTTTGAGATGCATCTAAATTTGTTAAAGCGTTTTAAAAAGGCAAAATTGAATATTAAATTCCATCGTTTTATTTATAAATCTGCTGAAACCAAGATATAAAACCCTCTCTACACAGCATACTAAAGAGTTCAGATTCTATAGTTTTTTCTGCATTTTGAGATGCATCTAAATTTGTTAAAGCGTTTTAAAAAGGCAAAAAAAAAATTTATTGAACATTTTGTTTACAAATATTTTTCCACTGAAGAAGACAGTATTGTAGTGATTTTTTAATGATACTGTATTGTATTTGAACATTTTTCTTTCTGAGGGAATTTTTTAATGGGCAAAAACAGTTTGCTGTGGTGTAAAGAGGGTCCTTAAAGTCGTTGCTTTAAGGAGGCTGGGGGTCAACAAATTAACCACAAATTAACCACCAGATTTAACTTATTTTTTAAGATACGGTATCTTAAGCTGTCAACTATCATTTGGCAAAGAAAAAATTCATACATTTTAGTTTTAAAATTTGATCATTTATGTATATCTTTATATGAAGCTCTTCTTTTAAAGGAGATCGAAATATTCTGAAAATGGCTGCCACCCCCAGCCTCTTTAAGATCATCGATGTCTTTTTCGTATCAAAAAAAAACTAATTCATTAAAGAATTAAAAATATTTTTCTACAAGTACGTTATACATTTAGAGTAAAGTTCAAATTCATTTTTTGAACTGGAAAATATTTTTTTGCATCTTCACAATATGTTTAGATGGCTTATCTCGTCCTATGATTAACAAGGAGGTTTATTAATACTATGACGTCATTCTTGTTGGTGTTATATATAAATGTGGAAATCATAAAAAGAAGTACATGTACATAAAGTGTTATTAAATACTGAATACCAAAACGTGAATGTAAAAACATAGAAAAATGAGCGTAGGAAATTAACATTTACTGATGAAACCTTAAACCTATATCCATTTCTGGAAAATGATGTCGTGATATATGCATAGTACATTTTGCGTCTTATATGAATAGTGTTTTACAGGTAAGCTTGCACAAAAATCGAAAAAAAAAGTTTTAAAATGATAAATACATCATTTATTATTAGGAATTATTTTAATTAAAAATATCGTCATATTGCTGACACATGGCTTCGTTTCTCTTTATCCAGATCTTTAAGCTGCGAATCAATCTCTCTGTAAAACAAAACAACGTGTAATTGAATATCTAGCACTATCAAAATTGATTATGGCTCTGCTTTCTTAAACAGATATGTTTTAATGATTTGTTTTATATTTACCTGTTAAATGTTGATTATCTTGTCAAAGGGGATCTGATTTGAATAAAGTAAATTTACGTTATACAACAAGAGACCCATATAGGTCACCTGGGCATCATGCATGTAACATCTTACCAACCATTGAATTCGGTTCGTACTTTATACCAGATGCTATGACATTTACAATTTTGAAATAAATACAATTTATTGCCAATCATAACTATACACTATGCTTAGTTTGGTTTCTGAATACCCTAGGCAGAGTTTGAAAAAAAAAACAATGCAACTAATCGGTTAAAATCAGCTATAATCAGTAGTGCCCCATTTCACATAAACTCTGATCCCGGGGCTACACATTTTAAAATTTTGGAAAAGGCACCCTTGCTCATCATAAATGTTTGATCAATACAAAAGTGCAGATTTCAAAGTATTATTTCCTTTTCAGTACTGGTATGTAAGCATTAGAGCCCCGGTCCTATTCTCCTCTACGGTACCCCTGACCCAGGGGCCTTGAAATTCACAATTCTGGAAAAAGAACCCACTTGCTCATCATATCTATGTATATTTTGTTTGTTTGTTTAATGCCCAGGACCAGAGGAGAAGATTTTCAAAGAATTGATGCATTTTCAGTTTATAATGACTACAGCCCGACCCTTACACCAGAACCCCTTAATGGGGCCATAAAATTCTGAGTCACTCAGGTGACCTAAAATGCAATATTATTGTCCATAATGTGCACAAGTGTTTCTTTCAGAAGACATTTTGTCTATTGTTTCTATTGTCCCAATATACTTCTATGAAGAAACTATGAATTTCAAAATTTAATTTTTCATTATTCCTGACTCTCTCATGCGAATTTTTATATCAAAGAAATTTGAATCTACATGTACTCCATCCAAAGACAGTTTATCTCTATGTCTTAATGTGTATGACAGCACATTGCAATCAGTATTGTGAAAAATATACGTAAGATAAATGACAGCTAAATAATAAAAAAAAACTATACAGTTTTCAATCTTGAAATTCAATCTCAATTGAATTCAAAGCTTTGGGTGATCTTATGAGAGGCAAGTCAACAAAAAAAATAGACAAAACTATTTGACATGTAAGAAAGATAAAAAAGTACACAAATATGAATTTTTTCTCTTATATGCCTGATTTAAACTAATTAGAAACGTAATAACATAATACATAAGACGTACTAATGAGTATACAACAACAAAGCAAAACTCACGAATACAGGGTTAGGATTCATATCTGCAATAGGTCGTCTTATCGTAAACTTCTAAAAGGTAAAGAATAAATTGAAATATCATTTTCAAATTTGTGCAACTGGATTACATTTATTCTTAAGAAAATAATGTAAAAGAAAAACCTACCGACACTTCAGGTGGTATGGACATGTTATCCCTTGAATGTTCTGACAAATGTGGAACTGTTAAAAGAATGCGACAAATCAATTTCAGACAGTAAAACCTGTACATGTAATAACATTTTCTTTCAGGGACGGTTAGGATATATCATTTTACTATCTTTATTATATAACCCATTCCAGCTGTGATTTTTACATTTGGTGGCTTTGATTTCACTGATTATTTTGTTATTCTCTTGTGGAACGTTCCTCTCATATGGAGACACTACTACTTGGCGGTGGAGGGCTGCAAATTCATATCTATACTCGTTACTCAGCGCCATTGATCAGTAAGGGATCTTTTTCGTGCCCACGTTGACATGGGACCTCGCTTTATATGATCTCATCCAGAGAAGAAGTCTCCACGCCTCACAGCGGATTTGACCCGCGACGTAAGGATAGGCTCCTTACCCAGTGACTGTAGAGCTGATGCTCTTACATGTACCACTATGCCACAAGGGCGACACTTGTTTTTTTTATGTATACTATACTAAACGTTATAAACCAATAGTCGCATTGAAACAGCTACATTTCCCAGAATAATTTGATCTGATAGTTGAGGTACCTTTTCTTTCTTCAGTTTCGTGTATCCATGGAGAGAACATGCTTTTTGGACCCCAGCTTCCATAACGTATAGGAATCGATGATCTAAATAAAATTTCTCTCAAAGTAATTTGAAAATAAAAGATAAGATTATCTATGTTCTTTGTATTATTCCTTCATAAAGGCGTAATGCTAGGAATTCACAAGAAAGCCGTGAATGCTACTATATATTTATATGGAATTTAACTTGTATTAATTTTGCCAAGGGGAATGTTTGATTGAATGACAACCATTTTATTGTTTTCCGAAATCGGATTTATTTTTTCCTTGATATTGAAAAAAAGAATAATAGAAGGAATATCAAAAGTGTCAAGCAGTTAGATAGATGTCCTACCTATTCAAATCACACTGCTTTGATTCATTTCTCCTTTGTGATCGTCGTTGACAGTATACATAAACAATGGCCATTATTGCTAGAGCTGCCAGAAGGAACGGTATCCCAATCCCTAATCCTAAGATTAGGCTTAAATTTTCTGGAATTCATGGAAGCATAAACAGATATACCAAGCTAGTTGAACTTCAAACAATTTGAAAATGGTAATGTTCTCTTTTAGAGCAGACATTGAAACATAGATATTATCAGATTTGTTAAACGATATTAAACACACTAATCAAGGGGAAAACAAACAAGAAAGTTTGATTAAACGCAAATAATCTTAAATCTTCAAGAAGTTTTTTCAAAAATAATGTATATTAATTCATTTATTTCTTAGACAAGTTCTGGAGATTCAATAAAAGCTATTTACCGTTTTCTTTTTTTCTCCCTCTGAAAAAGACAAAAAGGAGAAATAATAAAAAATAATGATTAAATTTTTCCCTTCGTTTCTTCAATAGTTTGTTGCTTCACATTTTATAAAGGTATATAAGATAAGTTTCTTATTTTTACATTTGTTTTGTAATTGTGATGAAGGTAGAAAACGATGCATTAAGTCTTAAAACTTACAAACACATGGCAACTCCTGAGGTTTCCACACAGTCCTGTCCATCAGAACAAGGGTAAAGATGCTGTAAGACAGCGCACTGACTGCTTGAAGTGTTCAGTACAAAATCTACAACAGGATAGACAGAGTTAGAACAAAAAAATATATCAATATAAAGTATCTATCTTTCTCTTTAAATATTTGTCTATAAGTATACCATTTTATTTTCATTCTCTTTAAAACATTTTATTTAAGTATACCATTTTATTTTCATTTTGCAATCATGATCAGCTTGTACTTAATTATGATATGATAGTAAGAGTTTCAAATAAAAAAAGTCAGGAATACTGGCATTGTTTCAAAAACAAAATTACAGTCTACATAAGCTATTTTTCTGAACATATACATTTAACAATTATTTAATTTTGTTTGTATTCTAGCCTCTCATTGGTTGATTTCCAAAAAGGAACGCAAATTATTCGTATAATTTGGTTTGGTATGGGAACACACCCCCTGACAACCAGCTGAATCATCTGTATCCATGTAATCCCCTCATTTCCAGTCCTTGATTCATGGAAAATACCAGATTCAATAAATATACCCTTAACTTCTAACAGTAGCTCGATCTTACCTCATGTAAACAAATATCATGGCTGTTATGTCTATGCATCACTTATTACCTCTCCTCGCTTCCCATCACTTCCATTACTAGCTATAGGGTTATTGAGCGGCAAATTTGAACTCATAAAAAGTAACACAATTTTATATTCACAGTTGCTTATATTTAATTGTTTTAAAATTAAATTATTAGGAATAACTCTTAATTCTTGGCCAAATTATTCGAGTGTAACCTGGTTTATGTCAGTTTACGCTCTTTTTATAATCCGCTTTGCTTATTATTCAGCGTAACTGAACCAAACCAGGTTGTATCGAATAATTTGGCCAAGAATTAGAGTCATTCCTTAATTAACAAATTTACAAGTACAAACCTTTTCCGTTTTCATTGGACATTTTTACGGAGGATACCGAAGCGTTCTTTCCTAAGGATTCGATTATTACTGATTTACTCAACAATTCCTTTGAAGCCTTGACATATTCACTTGTTTGTTCTTCTGAAGACGTGTTCTTGTAAACAACAATTTCATATTCAACATTAAGGCTTCCAAGGCTACAAAACATAACATTTAAAAAAAATTGAAAGAAATTGAAAAAGAAATATCGACGAATATATAGATATATTTTGGAATCACCGTTGTTCATGGGTGTAGGGGTGTGGTGTGGTCAATGTTCGTAGATAAGTGGTAATTTCGTGTGTAACTTGCATCTTTTCGTAAGATAAAAAGATTGCTAAATGTATTTGTGTTTCAGTGTTCATGGGGACGACGTCAAATCGTTGGAAAGGTAAACCAAAGAAATTCATAAATATTGATCTCCAACAAACAATGATGATTCTAAAGTAAGTATCCAAAACCTTTCATCAAAGTCTAAAAAAAATTCAAGGAAAAGTCTTTTCTTACCTTAAAGATAAAATAATAAGAGACTTGAAACCACGCATTGTTCTTTTAAAATGGTCCTCAAGCTAGGAAATATAAAATAATTGTATATTTACAATTAAAAATAAAAAATGCCAAAAAAGATGTTTATGAAACACTGATGCCCCCAATAAACTTTCTTAAATGCATATCAAATACGTTATAAACTTGGTACCCAAAGTAAGGTCTCGCAAGAAATACATAAACTCATGTGAAATATGAAAGCCCTATCATCTTCGGTTCAGAAGTAATGCACAACGTTAAAGTCTAATAAAACGTAGGTCATACTCCAAGGTCAAGGTGAAAGGGTGTAAGTTGTTAATATTTAAGGGAAGGTCATGCAACAATGATTTCATGAGTGAAGTATAAAAGCCTTAGACTTAACCGTTCAAAATTCAAAGTTTCTTAAAAATAGGTCAAACTCCAACGTCAAGGTAAAAGGGTAAAAGTTGTTGGAATCTAAAGTAGGGTCTTGTCACAGGATTACATACAAGAAGTATAAAAGTCATAGTTTTTAAAAGTCGGTCTAACTCCTAGGTCAAGTTGAAGGGGTCAAAATTGTTGTAATTCAATAGAAATTCTTGTCAAACGGATTACATATTTAAAGTATAATTGATTGATTGTATATTGTTTAACGTCCCTCTCGATAATTTTTCACTCATATGGAGACCTCACCGTATACGCGGCACTCAGGGCCATTGAGCAGTGAGGGTTCTTAATCGTACCAACGCCTACCGTGACATGGAACCTTCATTTTTAAGGTCAAATCCGAGAGACCCGTGACTTTCACTTCTATAAGCTAGTGCGGAGCGCTTGGCAAAGGAACAGTCACTCCCTATTTTTACGTCTTAGTTATGACGCGGCGCCGCGAACGAGAATCAAACTCGGGCCTCCCGATCATGAAGCGAACGCTCTACTACTCGGCTACCGTGACCGGTTTTAAAGTAAGAAAACACTAGCTCCAACTGTACAAAAGTTATGGCCAAGGTTAAATAATGTTAATTTTCTCAAAACTGTGTCAGTCTCTAAGGTCAAGGTCAAATTTGATAGTATCCAAAGAAGTCTTGACACAGGGTAAACACATGTAAAATATGAAAGTCATTCAATCAAAAGTCATGGGCACGGTTAAGTTTTTGCAGACAAACAGACAGACAGAGAGATGGACAAGGGAAAAAATATATAAATCCCTGCTTCTTCGATAAAATGGGCAAAAAACTTTCCAAAAAGGTAAATATCCATACCATCTGAAACACATTATCTGTTATATTTGTTGTTTTCTCTTCAAATTCTTGTTGGGTGACATCAACCATGAGTGTTGTCTCTGCTTTAAATTTAACTTCCTCTCTTGAATCTAACAAATACAAAATTTATTCAAGGAAAATACATATAGCAGATAAACCCCAAAAGTAAGCTCAAGCTTTTTTTCGAACTTAAAAAAATTCATCAAATAAAAATGTTAAATACACTGTATTCAATCTTTTTACACAAGTTACATTAATTTAAATACCAATATCTTAAAAACTCACTCGTTATGTATGGAGGCGTTGGAGCTTGATAAAAAGATAGGAAAAACTAATGTTACTTAGATATCAAATGTTTTGCTAAAATAAATTTCATTCAAATCTGAAGGTATTACTACATACACAAACATATTCCACTAGTCGCATTAAGTCCATAACGACAAGAACAGAAGTAACTGTCCGTTCCGATTTTTAGTACACAATGCTGAGTAGTGAGATCACAAACAGCAGTTCCGTTCAAACAGTCGTCTACATGGACATCACAATTTGTCCCGTTCCAGCTATCCTTACAGACACACGCTCCTGTGATGTCATTGCAATCGTTAGTGTTTTCTGCGATGCATGGGCATTGTTTGGAACATTGCATACCATAAGCTTTAGGACCACAGGCTGAAAATATGGAAGAAAAAACTCTTTTCTAGAAACAGCTCTAGTGTTAGTTTTCACAGCTTAATTTGAATTTGTTCATAAAAAACATTTTCAAGTTAGCACAGATTTCAACAAAAATGAATTTTAGACTTTTTTTCTCATTTCTGTTGTTTTGACCAAATGAACCGCCATGTGACCATATTCATTTGCGTTTCAACTGCCAGTACCCTTACCAGTGCAATTAATGCCATTTCCATAGAATCCTACATCACAGGAACAGTTGTAGCTGTCTATCGTGTCCTGACAAGTGGCATTCATGTGACAATTGTTGGCATCTGTATTACACTCATCTGTGAATTGACAGTTGGTTCCATTCCAACCATCTTTACATGTGCAATATCCGGTAACATCATTACAATCGACAGATCCAATCATATTGCAAGAACAAGTTTCTGAGCACTGGTCTCCAAATGTATTATCACTGCATTCTAAATAAAAACTTATCCATGTGTAGATGTAAAAACAAACTAAATAGCCGAAAAAGCTTTAATAACATGTACAATTTAAATAAAACACAGAACAAATTTCATTTCTATGTTAAGTTTATCATGCAAAATTATTCTACTCGTAATTCATAAAAGTTAAAAATAAATGTCAACGTCAATGTCTTAACTGAATGTAATATAGACAGGAAAGCTACCTGAATTTATCAGAACAATTTTACTAATTACATTGATGTATTGAATTTCAGCTAAATAAAGAGCTAAAAAAAAACCTTACCAGTACAATTAATGCCATCTCCATGGAATCCTACATTACAAGAACAGTTAAAGCTGTCTTTCGTGTCCTGACAAGAAGCATTCTTATGACAGTTGTTGGCTCCTGACTCACATTCATTTGTGAATTCACAGTTGCTTCCATTCCAACCATCTTTACATGTGCAATTTCCGGTTATGTCATCGCAATCGATTGAACCAACCACATTGCAAGAACATGTTTCGGAACATTGGTCTCCAAATGTAGTGACACTGCATTCTAAATAAAAAGTTATCCATGTGTAGATGTAAAAACAAACTAAATAGCCGAAAAAGCTTTAATAACATGTACAATTTAAATAAAACACAGAACAAATTTCATTTCTATGTTAAGTTTATCATGCAAAATAATTCTACTCGTACTTCATAAAAGTTAAAAATAAATGTCAAAGTCAATGTCTTAACTGAATGCAATATAGACAGGAAAGCTACCTGAATTTATCAGAACAATTGTACTAATTACATTGATGTAATGAATTTCAGCTAAATAAAGAGCTAAAAAAAACCTTACCAGTACAATTAATGCCATCTCCATGGAATCCTACATTACAAGAACAGTTAAAGCTGTCTTTCGTGTCCTGACAAGAAGCATTCTTATGACAGTTGTTGGCTCCTGTCTCACATTCATTTGTGAATTCACAGTTGCTTCCATTCCAACCATCTTTACATGTGCAATTTCCGGTTATGTCATCACAATCGATGGAACCAACCACATTGCAAGAACATGTTTCGGAACATTGGTCTCCAAATGCAGTGTCACTGCATTCTAAATAAAAACTTATCCATGTGTAGATGTAAAAACAAACTAAATAGCCGAAAAAGCTTTAATAACATGTACAATTTAAATAAAACACAGAACAAATTTCATTTCTATGTTAAGTTTATCATGCAAAATAATTCTACTCGTACTTCATAAAAGTTAAAAATAAATGTCAACGTCTTAACTGAATGTAATACAGACAGGAAAGCTACCTGAATTTATCAGAACAATTTTACTAATTACATTGATGTATTGAATTTCAGCTAAATAAAGAGCTAAAAAAAACCTTACCAGTACAATTAATGCCATCTCCATGGAATCCTACATTACAAGAACAGTTGAAGCTGTCTTTCGTGTCCTGACAAGAAGCATTCTTATGACAGTTGTTGGCTCCTGACTCACATTCATTTGTGAATTCACAGTTGCTTCCATTCCAACCATCTTTACATGTGCAATTTCCGGTTATGTCATCACAATCGATGGAACCAACCACATTGCAAGAACATGTTTCGGAACATTGGTCTCCAAATGTAGTGTCACTGCATTCTATGTCCAAAAGAATTCAAATTTTGTTTAATGAACAAAGCGGGGAAAGCAATTGAACGATGTATAAACTTGTATATAACAAACAAACCTTCATTAAACTATTAATTTCACAGTCTAAAAGTGACATTGTTATATTACATTACGTAAGCCTTTGTTTATTTTTGATATTTCATACATTGGACACGTATTGAACTTTAAAACAATAATATCCAAAGGAAAAGAACGGGATTTAAGAACAAAATCCAAACTACCCAAACCTTCACAGACTATATATTTTTTAAAGAATTTGAGCAAGCGTGAATATCAAATATGAATTTGAATATTCTTTCAATATCTTCCTATGTATTGGCACCATGTGCATCTACGATATAAATATTTTTGACTGTGTTTTACCTGTGCAATGAATGCCATCTCCATAGAATCCTACATTACAAGAACAGTTGTAGCTGTCTTTCGTGTCCTGACAAGATGCATTCTTATGACAGTTGTTGGCTCCTGACTGGCATTCATTTGTGAATTCACAGTTGCTTCCATTCCAACCATCTTTACATGTGCAATTTCCGGTTAAGTCATCACAATCGATGGAACCAACCACATTGCAAGAACATTTTTCTGAACATTGGTCTCCAAATGTAGTACTATTGCATTCTAAGGATAAAAGAATTCTAAATTGGTTTTAGAACAAAGAGGGGAAAGCGATTAAACAATGTGTAAACTTGCATACAAAAAAAGTAATCATCATCACAAAGCTAATTTCATATTACAAAATTAAAATTGTTTTATTACATAAGCCCTTTTTATATTTTTTTTTATTTCAAACATTGGATAAGAATTGACAGTTAAAACAATAATAGCGAAAAGAAAAGAACGGGGTTGTTAACCAAAATACCCAAACTCTCACTCACTGCATTCTCTTTTATAGAATTTGAGGCAGTGTGAATATTAAATATTTTTTTCAATATTTTTTCAATATCTTCCTTTGTATTGACACCAAATAGTATATAAATAATTTCAACTGAGTTTTCATTTACCGAGCAATCACTAACCTGTGCAATTAATGCCATCTCCATAGAATCCTACATTACAAGAACAGTTGTAGCTGTCTTTCGTGTCTTGACAAGAAGCATTCTTATGGCAATTGTTGGCTCCTGCCTCGCATTCAATTGTGAAATCACAGTTGCTTCCATTCCAACCATCTTTACATGTGCAATTTCCGGTTATGTCATCACAATTGATGGAACCAACCGCATTGCAAGAGCATGTTTCTGAACATTGGTCTCCAAATGTAGTGCTATTGCATTCTATGGATAAAAGAATTCAAAATTGGTTTTAGAACAAAAAAATTAGACCAGTGGTTCATGAGAAGATGAAAATGTGAAAAACGACGACAACGACGATTGACAACAAACAAATTTTGATCAGAAAAACTCACTTGAGCCTTCGGCTCAGGTGAGCTATAGACAACCAAATACTTTCAGTTTCTATATTTACTAATAAAACTCCAGGAAGCATTATAAAATACAGTGTATACACTATATTTTCTCAATATCCTTTTTGGTTTGTAAACATTCAAAAGTTAAATATTTTCATTCGAGTTTCAAACTAACTCGGTAATCGCTTACCTGTACAATTGACACCATCTCCATAAAATCCTATATTACAAGAACAGTTGTAGCTGTCTATCATGTCCTGGCAAGAAGCATTCTTATGACAGTTGTTGGCACCTGAATCGCATTCATTTATGAGTTCACAGTTGCTTCCATTCCAACCATCTTTACATGTGCAATTTCCGGTTATGTCATCACAATCGATGGAACCAACCGCATTGCAAGAACATGTTTCGGAACATTGGTCTCCAAATGTAGTATCACTGCATTCTATGTATAAAATAATTCAAAGGTGATTTACAAAACAAAGAGGGGAAAGTGATTAAAAAATGTATAAACTTGCTACAAAAAATAGTAACCCTCATTTCTATGCTAATTTCACAATTGAAAATTGTCTTCTTGGTACATGTCTTTTTTTTAATTTATTATATCAAATATTGGATAAGTATTGGTAGTTTGAAAAATAATAGCGAAAAGAAATTAACGCGATTGTTGACCAAAATACCCAAACTTTCATTAACTATATATTTATAGAATGATTTTCAATATTTTTTAAAATATCTTCATCTGAATTGACACCAAACAGGTTATAAACATTTTCAACTGAGTTTTAATTCTCCTGAGCAATCACATACCTGTGCAATTAATGCCATCTCCATAGAATCCTATATTACAAGAACAGTTGTAGCTGTCTTTCGTGTCCTGACAAGAAGCATTCTTATGACAGTTGTTGGCTCCTGACTGGCATTCATTTGTGAATTCACAGTTGCTTCCATTCCAACCATCTTCACATGTGCAATATCCGGTTATGTCATCACAATCGATGGAACCAACCACATTGCAAGAACATGTTTCGGAACATTGGTCTCCAAATGTAGTATCACTGCATTCTATGTATAAAAGAATTCGAAACTGGTTTTAGAACAAAGAGGGGGAAGTGATTAAAAAATGTATAAACCTGCATACAAAAAATGGTAACCTTCATTACTATGCTTATTTCACAATTGAAAATTAGAATTGTCTTTTTACATATCTTTTTTATTTTTTATATCAAATATTGGATAAGTATTGATAGTTTAAACAATAGTAGCGTAAAGATATGACTCCGATTGTTGACCAAAAAACCCAAACTTTCATTGACTATATTTGTATAGAATGAATTTCAATATGTTTTTAAATATCTTCATCTGGATTGACACCAATCAGGATATAAATATTTTCAACTTAGTTTTAATTCGGCTGAGCAATCACATACCTGTGCAATTAATGCCACCTCCATAGAATCCTACATTACAAGAACAGTTGTAGCTGTCTTTCGTGTCCTGACAAGATGCATTCTTATGACAGTTGTTGGCACCTGAATCGCATTCATTTGTGAATTCACAATTGCTTCCATTCCAACCATCTTTACATGTGCATAATCCGGTTATGTCATCACAATCGATGGAACCAACCACATTGCAAGAGCATGTTTCGGAACATTGGTCTCCAAATGTAATATCACTGCATTCTATGTAAAAAAAAATCAAGTTTGGTTTAAAGAACAACGGGGGGAAAGGGATTAAACAATATACAAAATTGCAATCAAACATGAAAAATCCTTCTATGAATGCATTACCAATAATAGGAATAGGGGAAAAAAAATGAGGAATAGTTTTTTTTCTTTTTGCAGAACTTATATAGAAATATATTGCTGAACAAGTTGAAAATCATATATATAAATTTTTTTATAAAAGACTCACTTGTACAATTTTGTGTCGATGACATCTTAAAGCCAATATCACAAATACACGAGTATGATCCTTGTATTTCATTACATGATGAATTATTTCCGCAAATGTATGGATTGTTTGTACACTCTGGTATGTCTTCTGTACAGTTTTTACCCTGCCATCCCGTCTTGCAGTTACATGTCCCATTTTGTTTTTCACAGGACTGAGTATTATTAAAGTCACATGTACAAATGCTGCTACAGTTCTGGCCGTATGTTTTTAAGGGGCAACCTTTGTAAAATTTTCGAAAAAAAACTTAATATTTTATTAATGAATTACTCAGATACACATGTATTTTCATTTGATCAATTTGACTCTTTTCCTAGTTTTGCCTGTTGTTAACTGATCTACCTAAACTCTAAAAAGTTATCACATCTGGACTCGTAAAAGCATGCTCATACTAATTTATAACTAAAATTATTTAGAGAAATTTGCTTTACATGAAATAGGATTAAAGCATATTTTAAACCCTTATGGTGAATCAATCTTAAATTGCAACATTTTATTTGGAAATTAAAATGAAAATCAAAATTATGAAGGTATTTTACCAACACAAAGTCCGCCATCGAGGAAAAATCCATCTTCACAGTGACAAGAATAAGAGCCATTTAAATTAAGACAGTATGAAATGGTTCCACAAATAGAAGAGTTCATACATTCATTGATATCGTCGGAACAATACGTGCCCTCCCATCCTTCCTTGCAGTTGCAGAATCCGTTCATCGAGTCGCAGGAATCCGTATTATTTGTGTCACATAAACATTGCAAATCACAACCCCTTCCATAATATCCATTTTCACATTCTTTATAAAGACAAAACAAATCAATGTATTCTTTGCAATAGGTTGGACCTGGGACCATCAAATGAGAATAGACTTCAGTCCAAAATTCCCCTTTGAATGTCTTTCACTATATCTATTTTTTTTACAAACTTTCACGTTCATAAAGCACCCAGACAACAAGAAGCCCAGGGTCAACATCGCTCACCTGAACATATTGGCCAGAAAAAGCACAAATCAGTTAAGTATTGAAAAGTAGGGCTTGAATTTTAGCCTATTTGAGAATACTACCATATCAATAACAATGGCTTTACTGTTCTTAAACAGATGTGTTTTACTATATATTCCTTTGTAAAAATTTCATCCACATTGTAGCCCCTCCCAACCCCTAGAATCATTTGAACAAATGTGAATCTACACCAACTAATGATGCTTTCATATGATTATAAGTAAACTATGGCCTTTCCATTCTACATGTATAGAAGATGATTTTTTTTCAACATTCCTATGTAAAACTGATTTTTCATTGTGACCCCATCCAACCCAGGGGTGTGAGTTTGAACAAACTTGATTCTATACTACCTGAGGATGCTTCCACATAATTATAGTTTAATCTCTCCTAGCCAAGTGGTTCTTGAGAAGAAGATTTTTTTAAATATTAAAAATATTCCTGTATAAAACTTGATTTATTTTTTAAAATCATTTCATTAGTTATAGTGGCTTGGAATTAAGACTTAAGTCTGTTCTCCTGAATTAGAGGAATTAATCAAGCTCTATTTTCTTTAATATTTAGAAAAGTGCAACTAAGAAAGAAAATTTGACATTCACATCAGAGAAGTTTAAAAAAAGGCGAAATAAAATGCTAGTATGTTTAGCATTTTTCTCAAATATTTTTGCCTCTTTCACTTTTTTGTTTAGTTTGCCACTAAGAAAAGTACAAGTGCTTGAATTGAAATGAACCGAATGATTTGAAAATTTTTTAATAATTGAATTAAAAAGGGATGTGCTTATTGATTTCCACACGATCATTCAATGTACTACAGTATGATTCATTAGCAACGGTCATCGAAAATTTAAATTTTTGTCCATTTTATGTAATTGATACACTGTTTTTTGAAGTAAACTTTATATTCAGAGTAATTTTATGGAATAAGACATGAAATTTGTACCTTTACATCCGTTTGTAGAATTCTGAAATCCATCCTTGCATACACAGGTGTAAGAACCATCACTGTTGACACATGTTTCATTACTTCCTGTGCACGGACTCACTGTATTGTTACACTCATTAATGTCCTGATTGCATGACTGTCCAGTCCACCCCATCTTACAGATACAACCATTAATGTGATCACATCTTTCAGATCCCTGGCCGCATCGACACTCCTTTAAGCATTTATCGCCATAAAATCCATCGATGCAAACTTCAAAAACAGAACATAATATCAACAAGAGGCCCATGGGCCTTATAGGTCACCTGAGCATTATGCAACAACTAATTCCAGTGATTGAATTTGATTCATGTTTTAAGCCAGATGCTATGGCATTCACAATTTTCAAAGAAGCATCACTGATCATCATAACTATACACTTAGCAGTTGCTTAGTTTGGTTACTTAATACCCATAGGCAGGGTAGGGGAACAAAAAATGCATTTCAACTAATCAGTAATATTCAGCAATAATCAGTAGTGCCCCTACTACACATGAACCCCTGACCCTTAGGCCTAGATCCACACATTGCACAATTTTAGAAAAGGCATCCTTGCTTTTCAAAAATATTTAAATTCATGTATTTTCACTATATAATCAATAAGAGCCCCGGCCTAACACCAGAAACCCTGACCCTGGGGCCATAAAATTCACAATTTTGGTAGAGACACTCTTGCTCATCATAACTATGCACTAAATTAGTCTATATATACCCAAGAGCAGAGAAGAAAACTTTCCAAGAATTCATGTATTTTCACTATATAATCAATAGAGCCCCGCCCTAACACCAGAAACCCTGACCCTGGGGCCATAAAATTCACAATTTTGGTAGAGGCACTCTTGCTCATCATAACTATGTACTTAGTTGGTCAATTTGATACCCAGGAGCAGAGAAGATTTTCAAAGAAATAATGCATTTTCACTATATACTTATTTAGCCCCGCCCTAGCACTAGAACCCCTAACCCCAGGGCCATGAAATTCACAATTTTGGTAAAGGACTCAATGTTGAATACAATCATGCAAACAGTTTGACTGCTCGATGTCCAGGAGTAAAGGAGAAGATTTTTAAAGATTGCATTAATTTTAGTGGTTTTGACCCCACCCCTCAGGCCCCAGGGGGACAGGGATCGTGAAATTCACAATTTTTGTTCCCCTTTATCCATAGATGCTTTGTGTAAAATTTGGTTGAAATTGGTTGAGTGGTTGCAGAGAAGAAGCTGAAAATGTTCAAATGTTAACGCACGACGGACGACGCACGACGACGGACGCAAACGGATAGCAAAAGGTCACCTGAGTTTACTCAGGTGACCTAAAAATCTTAAAATACTCGAACATTCATTTCATTCACTATTAAACCATCATTTTCAATTACATCAATATATTCCATATTTCATATTAAAAAATACCTTCACATGATTTTCCATCATTTTGTAAAGTATATCCAATGGCACATCCACATTCAAAAGAACCCTCTGTATTTGTGCAATTGTGTTCACATGTTCCAGTAACTTTGCACTCATCAATATCTTGAATAAGAGAAATTTATAATCTCATTCGGTAAAATGTCATTTAAAATAAAATAAAAATAAATCAAGTTGACCAAGAAGTTCCACGAAAAGGATAACCATAAAACACCCTTAAGAAATACTCTAATAAAATTAGTTCATTTCAACTTCCTTTTTGATTGATTGATTTAATAATGTTTAAGGTCCCATTCGAGAATACTTCCCTCATATACAAAGATAAAACATAATTCTATCTTTTATAGTTAATATTTACATGTACCCGGTATTACCTTTGCATGTGCTATTGTCGACATCAAGTTCGAATCCAGATTCACAAAAGCAATATCCTTTATTTGTACTTGATTCCTGCTTAAGAATGCAACCATAACTGCAGTTCAATTCCGGAAACAAGGTACATATATCAGACACTGAAAAAGAATTCTTTTGACATCATGTATCCAGTAAAAATTGCTGTTATACAGTGTATTTAGGATACATGTATACATGTATTAGAGTCTTTAAGAAATTGTTTGAAGTCTTGGGGTAACAAGCCGATACAACTTTGGTTGTATTATGCAGAAACAATTTTTGACATTGTCGATATATGCATAATAATAATTTCAAGGAACACATTTTCATTAAAAATATTTTGTGGTACAAAAAGAAAACGATATGAATGCAAACTTAAGAGACAAAAAATAATGAAAACAAAATGGGAAAGAATGCTGTTATTGGCAATAATGATATAATGTGACTATTTCCATTTAATTTGATGTTATAAATAGTCTACCTTTTTCACAATTCCTTCTATCATTTTGAAGAGTGAATCCAAACTCACACTCGCAGTTGTACCCTCCTTCGGTGTTGGAGCATATTTGAGAGCAATCATCGATATTTTGAGTACATTCATTTACATCTGTATGATAAATCACAATAAATATTTCATTTATAACTAAAATAATACGCCCATTAGCCAATGAATCTCAATTATTTCACAATGGTATTAAAATAAGTTTACTATGTATATAACATACCATACCAGTATTTTGTTTTTTTGTCAAATATGATAACCTATTGATTTAGCAAAACAAAAAGGTGACGTACTTTTCAAAAGATTTTACAATTTTTAAAAACTTCTCTTATATTTTGATGTTAATAATGTCACCTAAAAGGTTAGGCATAGGCATCGTAAATACAATAAAATTCAATCTTTTACACCATGTGAACATATCCTTACATGTTTATTAATTATATTACTGTAGTATGTTCGTTGGGTTGTATTCTCTGTGACACATTTCAATATTTTTTTCATGTCTACGATACATATGCATCCGAATTGCGTAAAAAGAATCAAACTCAAAAGTCTATAGAAACAATTCAAATTGATAGCAGAGCAAACACAGACCCCTTAAAATCATCAAAGGTTGGATCAGGTACATGGATAAGAAATTATCCTTTTTTGACCTGTCATACCTGCTTCAGGATCAGGCAAAATGAAAAAATCCATAAACAATTCAGCGTTTAAATAAATGCCTAACGATTAGTATGAAAAACGTCAGTCAGCATTTAAGTCAATAACAGAATGAGAAGCCATACCTTCACAGATAGAACCTCGCTTTTGAAATCCTTCCTTGCAGAGGCAAGTATAATTTCCATACAGATTTTTACAAACTGTATTTTCTGGGCAATCGTTTAAGCTCAAATCAGAACATTCATCAATGTCTGAAAAATACATGTCATTGGTCTCACATTTCAGACATTCATTAAAAGTAGCAAAACATATTTAGTCCTTTGAGGAAAACATAAATTTTTTTGAAAATATCAATTACCCTGGCAATTTTCTCCAACTCTTTGGAATCCCTCCCTACAATTACAGATGTAGGACCCTTCCAGATTTTGACAGATTTTGTCAGATTCACATATTGATTGGTTTGATTTACACTCATCAATGTCATCACTGCAGGTTTCTCCTGCCCATCCTTCCAGACAGTCACACCCGCTCACTGGATTACACTTGTCCATACCTGGTCCACATGTACATATTTGGCTGCAATTTTCCCCGTAATATGGTTCCTTACAAACTATAAAAATAATTATATATTTATTTGTTGAATTTTCCAATATAAAAAAAAACAGTTAAAATATTTGTGCTGATTCTTTAAATCATTTAAAAAAGAAGATCCTGAAAAAGGAAATGATTTACTTTTGTAGCTGATATTTATATCACCAATCTAGCATAAACTTTTCATACTTAAATCAATAATAAACAATGCCAATGTAAAAAAGATATGAAATTACCGGTGCATGAAACTTTATCTTCATTCAAGGTGTATCCACTACGACAAAAACATTGAAATGAACCGTTAATATTACTACAGTTCTGTTCACATGGGAAAGGAGTCGCTTCACATTCATTTACATCTGAAATTAAATAAAGGTCCAGGCTTTTTGATATCATCGACGGCTGCTTTTTTCAATAAAAATGGAACTTGTAAATTTACTTACCTTGTCATTGGTTATTGTGCAAAATTATTTTGTTAAAAACATTCTGATTGTACACACAAGTACTATGAAATTGGCATTAAAAATATGTTTGAGTTTTTAATTGACGATATCTATGTGGTGTTTGGAGACCAGGTCTTCCAACAAGCTATTGGAATTCCCATGGGTATCAATTGTGCCCTGTTAATAGTAAACCTATTTTTGTATTCATATGATTCAGTCAAAAATCTTGTAGATGAAAAGAAGAAAACACTTGCTGTGGCCTTCAATTCGACATTTAAATATATCGACGACGTATTGTCAATTAACAATGGTTATTACCCGATATATTCTGGTGAGCTTGAGAAAAAAAGATCCCACAGAGTCTGAAACATCTGTTTCATATTTAAATATTTTACTTGAAAAAAAACGTTAATGGTTATTTAACAACCAAGCTTTATGAAAAACGTGATAACTTTAACTTTTATACCTCTCAGTTGATTCGATACACAAGACCATGCTCTACGTGACTATGTACAATTTCTAAAACGAGGTAAATTATTGATAAGAAAGTTGATGAAACAAAAATGTCAGTAGTCCCCTTTAAAGTCATCATTTCGTAAATCTATGGGCGTAATCTCAGCGAGATGGATAGAGACTGAAAATTTAGACTGACGTCTACTATCCATCTCAGACCATTCCCACACAACGTGATTCGGGGTTTTTGCTCCGACTTCGGCAGCTCGTTTCAATAAATACAGGCTGAAATGAATTAGCTGCCCGCCTCAATTTTTTCCTTTGAACATCCCTTAAAGTCTCTATTACTATAAAACTTTCCTTTCTTACCTTTAAAAGGTTTAAATCCAGTAAAATATAAAGTTGTTTATTTTTCCTGACAGCATGATGGCTGTTTGCTATTCATTTAAACCTTCGCTGCTGAAGAGTTCCACAATAATTTGTTTCAAATAATTCGTTCTACTATTATTTCTTATAAGAATGATCTGTAGACTAAGTATAAATCATTTGAAACTTATTGTGGAACTCTTCAGCAGCGGAGGTTTAAATGAATCGCAAACAGCCATCAAGCTGTCTGGAAAAATAAACAACTTTATATTTTACTGGATTTAAACCTTTTAAAGGTAAGAAAGGAAAGTTTTATAGTGATAGAGACTTTAAGGGATGTTCAAAGGAAAAAGTTGAGGCGGACAGCTAATTTATTTCAGCCTGTATTTATTGAAACGAGCTGCCAAAGTCGGAGCAAAAACCCCGAATCACGTTGTGTTGGAATGGTCTGAGATGGATAGTAGACGTCAGTCCAAATTTTCAGTCTCTACCCATCTCGCTGTGATTACTATGGGCGATACAATGACCTTGTCAGCAAATGCAATTTATCAATAAGTCAAATGCTGACTGACTTTTTTTATTCCAATTGTTAGTCAATTATTTACACACTGAATTGTCGACGAAATTTTCCGTTATTTTCCAGTCATGACAAGGAGCACACGGCAGGTTTAACCGTCGGCAGGATGCTTACTCCTCCATGGCATTAAATACCACTCTGATGTTTTAGAGGTCCATAGTTGTTCTGCTCCTATTTTGTATTGTTTAATGGACTTTTGAGCTTGAATACTGTTCGTTATCTCCATATATTTCATATACAATATAAGTATGAAAATATCATTTCGTGTAAGAAGACTAAATGCAATTTTTTCAGACATAAAAGTTCGATATAGATAACTAGCAAGTGTTTCTTATTTTCTTTACCTATACAGCTGTGGTTATTTTCGTGCAGTTGATAGCCGATTGGACAGATACAACTTCCGGAAGTCGTGTTACATGTATAGTCACAGCTGATGGAAAGGTCTTTACATGGATTTTCGTCTATGTAACAAAGCTTCAACGGATTAGTAGTATATCTTAATAGAGAGGTTGAGATCTTAAACTTGTACGCGTACGTGTACTTGTATATATCTTGACCTACACGTACACGTTTTTTAAATTTGTCTGTTGATATTTTTATGACGTGTAACTTGTACGTGTACACCGAGATCGGTGTCGTTTCAACTACAGTAGTTGGCCATAAGTATGTTCCCAAAATGGGCGACGTTCTTCAATCGCATTGAGAATTCTGAGATTAAAAAACTTTTTAGCAATATTACATTCGTTTTTTCTCGAAACTAAACATCCGGAAATAAAGTTTTTGTAGTGGTAGAGGTTTTAAAATAAGCGTCCTTAATTCATTTCCGGTTTATTGTTTACATATCGTCTGCTTGGAGATATGGGTAAGCGAGGGAAGGAATTGACACAAGATGTTAAAAACATCATCATTAATTTATATAACAGCGATCATTCCAGTTACAAAATATCAGAAATAACAGGCTTGAATAGGAGAACAGTTAGTAATTTTTTAAAGCGTTTTCGTGAGCGGGGGAACACAGTAAACTTACCGCGAAGCGGCAGGCAAAGAAAACTTGATGACAGGGCGAAACGACGACTCGTTCGCATGGTTCGGGGCAATCGTCGGCAAACATTAGAGGATCTCACAAGTAAATTCAACAATTCTGCAGTTGTTAAAATATCCTCTAGGACTGTGAGAAGAAGATTATTTGAAAGTGAATACAAACGACATGTTGTTTCCAAAACGATTACGATCAGAAAAATGAATCGCTCTCGACGTGTGGGATTTTGTAGACAAAAGTTACATTGGAATGTGCAGAATAATTGGAGTAGAGTGATTTTTAGTGACGAGACAAAAATTATAATAGGTGAGGATAAGAAAATCTATGTTTGGAGGAAATCTGATGAACGTTTGATTGGGGAATGTACGGGAATACGTTTGGACAGGGAGAGGCAGGGGGTGATATCCGCGATGTTCTGGGGGTGTATAACATACAATGGTGTGGGCACCTTTACATCTGTTGAAGGAAATATGAACTCTAATGTTTATATTGAAACTCTGAACAATAATTTGTGGCCTGTCGTTGCTAAAAACTTCGGAAATGGTGCCTGGATTTTCCAGGAGGATAATGCCCCTTGCCATGTTTCTAGGGTTTGTAACGATTGGAAAACACAAAACAATATTCCAGTATTACCATGGCCTGCACAGAGCCCAGATATTAATATTATAGAAAATGTTTGGAGAGTATTGAAAATTCGAATTAAGAGACGCGTACATGACATTAAAAACAAAGCAGACCTGGAACGCATCGTTCATGAAATCTGGTCCTCTTTACCGCTTCACTATATAAGAAGTTTATATCAAAGTCTACCCAAACGAATTAGGGCAGTTTTGAAAGCCAAGGGACACATCACAAAGTACTAGTCACAAAGGTTAGTTTTATGCTGTTACATATAATTAAATTTAGGTTTTACTTTTTGATATGTACTTAGGTTTACGGAAAACGTCGGCCATTTTGGGAACATACTTATGGCCAACTACTGTATTTAGAAGGTTTTTTTGTCGTCAGTTAGTAAAAAAAAACTTGATGAAAATAAGTGCTCGTGAAAGTAAACATCCTATATAATGTATAACAATCACATTTTCACACTTAAATTGGCTAATTTTTATTATTAAAGCTACACGTTTTCACTTACGTGTAGATTCCATTCTACAAGTTTTACGAACGTGTAGCAATCTTGACGTCACTAAAATTGATGACGTAATACACACAGAATTTAGGTTATTCCCCTACTAGACGTACCCGTACACGTACACGTTTGAAATCTCAACCTCTCTAATAAATTTAAACTGTGAACGAGTAAAATATTACATACAATTAACAATAGACTTTATTTATCGTAAAAGCTTCAGAATCTGCAGAACAGTAATAGGAACATACAAAAAAGTAAACAATTATATATTTTAAAGGTCTATAGATTGATTCAGAAAATTTCAAGAATATAATACAATTTAACATTGTAAAATGTATCTTTGTTTTTAAAATTTAATTGAGAGAAATCGTCTTATTTTCTGCAATGCACATCAAAGAGTAAATAGCACTGATATTGCGAAAAATTATTGCTTCAAGCATATCTTGTTCTTTTTAAAAAAATAATTCATAATAATGATTGAACAAACCGGTTTTATTGCAAGAAGTATTGTCCCTGTTCAAAGAAAATCCTGGAAAACACTGACATATGAAGGAACCGATAGTATTTTTACATTTTTGCTCACACCCTGAAGTTATTTCCAAACATTCGTCAATATCTGCAGCAAAAAGTACCATAGTATTCAAAAATATCTACCTTCGTATAGTTAGTGATTTATTTTATTAATTTAACCAGCCTACATGCATGTATTCTTTTGATATCATTAATATCACAAGATAATATATTTTCTTATACTTTTGTGATTTTATCCAGTAAAAAAAATCAAAATTAAAATATAATGAATTTTAAATATTCCATAAAAAATATTGCTGGCATGTATCATGTAATAATTCTGATTTATTGTTTTTAATACATGCAGATCTAGAATTCGAATGATCACGCTTACATGTTCATTGGACGTGTTGGGTAGCCATAGCTTATCAATATAATACCTGTACAGATTTCATTTTCTTTTCGGAGTCCAGAGATACAGTGGCACAAGAAGCTCCCCTCGGTATTCTCACAGGTTTCAGATGTTAAATCACAAACACTTACATTTCCATTTCTACATTCATTGATATCTTAAAGAAATGCATAACAAATGTTATAATATTGCTATCATATCTTTTATAAATTGATTCTATATTCATGTTGTATAAATCCAGCTTCAAACCTTCACATTTGTTTCCAACTTCTTCAAATCCTGGTGGACACTCTGAACAGTTGTATGCCCTACCAAGTCTTTTCTCCTCTTCGGGAGTAAGGTCAGTGCATTCTCTTCCCAATGGACAAGGACCACCAAAGCAGCCATTTGTATCTATTTCACATTTCTCACCTAGAAAAATTCGGGTATTAGGCATTTTCAATGGGCCAATAAAAACTAATACAAAAGCCAAACAAAACTTTTCATTATTTTGCTTACCAGAATAACCAGTTTGACAATCACACAAGGCCAGTTTGAATCGGTCATTTTCTGTCGATATTACATTGAGATAGTTACAATGACCTTCATTACGGCAGCCTCCGCATATAATAATTAAAACATCCAGTGAGGGTGATTCTGCTCCTAATTCGTCCACAACACTTAAACTAAACAAACATTTCAATCATTGATATACAAATTCCAGCAATATCCTATAACGTAGAAAATTTCTTTAAAATACCTTATTTCCGATATATTTGTACTCTTTGGCGTCCACCTTGCTACTCCGGTGGTTGTGTTCAGATAAAAATCTTCAGGACTTTTCAGAATATTGTATTTTGGCGTTTGGTTGCTGTCGTCAGTAGTATTGAACCACAATTCGGCAACTTTACCAACTTCAACTTGAATTGAAGTGTTTCCTGATATCCGCGGAGTTTCGTTATCTTTAAAACAAAAGTTATTGAAAGTAACACAATACTAAGAATTGATGCAAATTAAACATGTATAAAAGGAAAATATTTCGTGCCGATTTAAGTTTCAATATACTGGACATTAAAATAATTAGTTTTATTAACCAATTAGTTTAATTTCAGAAATCGAAATTGTTTCTTCTGTTCCCGATGATTCGGCGAGTGCAATATCTCCTGTTGCCAGATAGTCAAAGATGCAGGCTTGTGACGGGTTTACTCCACATTTTTTCTTTGCATTTTCCAAAGCCTCTTCACTAATCTCGTCCAAAAACAATGGTTCGAACTCAGGATGAGAGAAGTTTTTGTTTGTCAATCCTTTATCGTAGTGAAATATGGATTCTTCATCTACCAGCCCTAAGTAGGTATAAAGTTGTGTTTGGTTAATAACTTTGATTGAAAACGAACCAATTATATCATATGTATATACACAATTACCGAACTGTTAATGAATGATATGTTAACAACGAAGAATGTACGTAAAATCTCGAACAAACTTACATAAATTTATTTGATAAGTTAAAGGGAACTTTGACCAAAAGTAATGGCATGGAATGACTTTTGTAAGAATTTGAAACTTTAGATTATAACATGAACATGATATTGCTCTGTTTGAAACGTTTATTACAAATATTTAACATATGTAGTAAGTAAAGGAATTCTTAGTCATATTCAAAGAAGTGGTATTGTACACAAGGAAAAGATGTAGAAAATACAATCAACGATGAATTCTCATAAAAAATACATGTTGTTATGCAAAGAAATATAAGAATATCATACAAACTTACATAGCTGACCAAATTTGTAGTAAATATCTCTTTCTGTTTTTGTTGCATTTTCGTCCAGTATAGTTTCATTTGGTAGGATAAAGTCATTGTTTAGATCTCCATCAAAATTCCCCATTAATCCTCTTGTAAATCCCATGTACGTATTGTCAACGACCGTTTCCGAAATCAAAAATCGTACGCCTAAACTGACTTTTAGAATAATTGCTGTAAAATACAAAATACCCTTGGTTCATAGGTATAAAAAAGTGACTGTAATAAATATTCTAGAGGATCACTTCTATATGTAATGTTCTTTTAAATTTTTAGTAATTTCTGCAGTTGAAAGTACATGCATTTCTGAATCAAGAAACCTGAACAGATTCATATGCATTTCTGCTTAAAACTTTGCATATATATCCTTTTTCTGATCCCACTCGTTCTAAGGATTTTCCCATGACATACTTCAGTACGTTATAGATAGCGTGTGTTTGCTATCATTAAAGACGTACAACACACTGGGGGAGATAACTCTTGCGATTTCAATTGAACGTTTGACGTGACGTCAAATTTAACGTCAAAAATAAAGCGTCAAAACGACGAGTAAAACGATCCCGATGTATATCAATCATGAAAGAAAATTGGGATATGGGGCTTGGCTGTGATTGTGCGTACCATACTCAATCAATAAGTATTTCTTTAATTAACCCAATTAAACTCCGTAAAATGCAAGATATAAAATACCATCCCTTAATGTTTATTTCATTTCATTTCATATACAATAAATTGCATTTTTTATCAAAGCGCAGCATTTTTTTTTATTCTGAAAATTTTATTTTACATTGCCGAAATTCTCATTATGTACAATTGGCTATATAACATTCCGATTAATGATCTTCATTACAATTTGTGCATACACGATATAAATGCATGTATTGTTTTTCTTCTTTAATTAAATAAAACAACAATAAATAAACAAACACTTTTTACAATGTAAAATCGATGTTGTTCTCAGACCCTTGCTGATCAAAGAGGAACAACTCTGAAAGTGTAGGAGATGTTTATTTTCCTCCCTTTATTCACGGTTTTCCACAGAATCAGATACATTTACAGCAAGACCTGATAAATTCGAGAATTGAGTACTATAGTCCTCATATACACAATGTAAGTATAGAATTGAAAAGAATTGTTCACTTGTACTGAAATTATCTGCATTTATGAATATCCTATTGCAGCAAGTCGTAACTTTGACTTTCTGTCAACAATGTCGGTTCGCATTTCCTCGAATCAAAACAAAACGTAGCCTATAAGATTTTAAAAAATATGATTATCAATGTGCGATTTGATATAAATTGAAATATATGTAGATGAAGAGTTTAATGTTTGATATTTTGAAGTTAATGTAGATGAATGCAGAATTTTCATTTTAACTTTAGAGGCGACGACATTGAAAGAAATGCGTACAATATCATGAGGGGTGTATGTACATCTAATGTAAATGTCGATGTATCCCCACGGTCACATACTGTCTCGTTTGAAATAATGACATGAAAGAAACTACAATTATTCCATTTATATCACAGGAGAGTTGAACATACACCATTTTTCATGTTTTTAATGAATAAAATTAAAGAAATAAAATTAAAAATAAACATATTCACGTTCAACAAAACTTGAATTCGTATCCAGGTTTCATGTGATATGGAAAGCATAATGCATACGTATATGGACTAAACACTAAAATATTTCAGTAATATTTTCCTGATACATATAAAAAGAGTAGTCAATATTTATTCTGCAATCATGAATTTACAAACTAATGCATACCTCCGGGATTCTTGACGAAATACTAGTATATTTGTACTGTAAACGACGTTTCGTCAAACGCTAATGGTCTGCGACGCAAAAAAGGAAGGGGTGGGGGTGATAGGTGTATTCAAAAATTGCCTAAAAATCTACATTTAAATACGCTTTACATATGAGAACTTTTAAATTTGTAAGTTGATATATTTTTCAAGCAAAAGCAATATTCTAATTTAATTTTTTTTATGTGTATTTGTAGATTCATATAACAAAGTGATCGACCCCCGTCTGAAAGACGCACGGGAACGTGATTTATTGAGAAAGGGGGAGGGGTAATTTTCCGCTATTAAATTAAAACTGGTCGTACAAAAATTATACAAAAAATTATGAAGATTATTTTTCCTACCAGCTACCTAAAGAAAGTTTTTTACCAAAATTAAACGACAGGTTTTTTCACCAAAAAATTTTGGATTTGAAAAATACGCTACTTTCAAGGCTTAGAAAATTCATAGTTTTTCAGTTTAAAGTCTTTAAAAATTGTTTTGATGATATGTATATCAAAAAGATGACTATGTTTTTGTGTTAAATGGTTAAAGGAATAAGCCAATGAAATTTGACATTTATATCCAACCTGGTTTTTTTGAAAATCAAGGTTTAAGTAGTTCATTGATTAAAAATTTTCTCTCCTTGTAAACAACTAAAGGGGGGTAACTTTCGGAAGTTCCTGTCCAAAAACCACTCGAACGATTTTGTCCAAAATATGCATGCATGCAGTAGATATAGTCATGTACTAAATATACAAAAATAACGAAAATTAAACGACAGGAATTTTTTGGGTAGGTGTGTTGTACATCCTAAAATCTCACGTTCAGAACTTCCAAGAATCACACAACAGGTTAAAAATATGCAAACTATGTATAAAAACAACAACAACAACAACAACAACACGAGTCCTTTATACTCTAATAGAGAAGAATTGAATTCATGTTTTGTACTCATTATTATTATACCCCCCGCTTGAAAAGCGGGAGGGTATATAGTAATCGTTAATTCCGTCCGTCCGTCCGTCTGTCTGTCCGTCCGTCCGTCCGTCCGTCTGTTACGCTTTGGGGTACCCATTCCTTATCCGCAACTCCTCTCATACCACTGAATGAAATTTGATCAAACTTTCACAGAATCTTTATTACATATTGCCATTGTGCACCTCCTATTTTACTTTTTGATCCGACACATATTTTGGGTTTCCCGGCCACAGGAAAACATGGACTTTTTCACCAGTTATAGCCATATGGGAGGCGGGGGGTATCATTTAGTGAGCTCATCGCTCACAGTACCTCTAGTTTTTTAAGTCCCCATGCACGTAATTTTAGGTTCATGTGTCCGATATGAACATTTGATGTTTCAAAATACAATACAATACATGTATATATACTTCTCAATTTAACATCCTTCAGATATGTCGTGGCTTTTATCTAAAGTTTTAAATCTCGTCGTTTGATTTTCTCAAACCCACTGAAAGAAAAAGCGTCGACTTCCATTTAATAGTGAGCTCCTAAGCCAGTTTCTGGAACGAGGAAGTTAAAATGTGATATGTCCATTACCTGTAGACTAAAATTACCACAAGTGTGCGTGTGCCCATGAATACACTTGAATTAGTAATATTTAAATTATATAATTTGTTGCTTTTTTTCAATACCAACACGGCAAATTTTCAGAGGTGTGCAGCATGTTTTTTTTATTTTTCATTTTGTATTTATCGTAGAAAATTCTATAGAATGCTTAGCGTAGGCTTCGGAATCGGGGGGGGGGGGGGGAGGGGGCTAGGGAGGCTTAGCCCTCTACTTTTATTTGCGAAGATAGACATAATATAGGCATTGAAAATTGGAGTTTACGTTTTTTTTTGGTTTAGCCCCCCACCCCACCCCACCCCCACTTTCAATTTGCTTTCGACGCATATGCTTAGGTAAGTTAAGAATACTGTTGAATATTTACTATTCCCTAACATGCCTATTACATGTAATCTATCAAAAATGAGTTTCCAAATAAAATCATTTAGTATATATATTGTATATATTATATACCCTGCACACTGCTGTTTAGTTACAATTTCTTTTGTTTGTTATTTATCGTCCCTCTCAAGAATTTTTTCAAGACGCCACCACTTGCCGATGGAGATCTGAAATTTTGTCCCTAGTACTCTACAGTTCCGACCATTGAGTAGGGAGGAATCTTTTTCGTGACAACACCTACTAGGCAAAGGGCCTCGATTTATACGGTCTCATCCGAAGGACTGGTGTCTGGTCGCTTAAATAAAGTATAATGCAGCAACTGAATTCATTAATACATGTAATATCCGTCCTCCTCAAAGTCACGCGATGCTTATCATATTTTGCAAATCAAATATATTTTTGCATCAACAATCCTTTATAATGATAACATGTTCATGGAACCAATCATATGCAGAAATAGGATATTAGAGTCCCTTATATCTTATTTCTGTATACCTGGGTAAAATAAAGAAAAGAAGGAGCAGCGAGATTGCACTGTATACTCAGTACTTCACTGCAGAAAGTATAGTTGACTGTCGGCCTATGAAAACAAGGTCAAAATTAAAAGAAAATCATTAAATATGTTTGTTTGACCTTTTCGGGCTTATACTTGAACACTGGGTTTGTACATAGGTACATATACAGGGGAAACATTCATTTTTATTTCTCATCTTCAAATTCAGATCCACATTTGTGCGAAATTTTCCCGTTTGCTAAAGTTATAATTTTAGTTACCCCAATAATTTTTTTTTTTGTGTGAAAACAAAGTACCCGATCGCAATTCGGAATATTACAGTCATTCCTGGCGTTAATCTATGCTCCTGTTACACATTAATTACACACTCATAAGCACACTCCTTTGTCCACTCAAACTTTGCTGCACTAAAACATACCATGACATGGTATCTTGCTTTTTATCACCCTATTCTCGGTTAGATTCTCCTTTCAAGCGCGTTTCAAACGTTTGATGTAAATAATGTTCGTTTGCCATGAGCCAAACATTTGGCACGATAAAGATGTCCTACTGCCTAATGGTCTTAAAAGCTGAGTAAAAGTCTAAATATGAAGCCATTCAACGGTATATGATGCCGTCGCATATGAGTGCAAATTCTTGCAAGGGACACAAATTAGCAACAACAGTAAACATTCTTTACTTGTGAGTAGATCATTAAATGTCGATTACTTGAAAATATTAATCACAATTATTTCTGTGAAACTATTTAGTTCTTTTGACAACCATTTGCAACATCAATATATATATTCACCTATGGCCAAAAAAAATTCATGATTCATGAGATATATCATATTACTTACATGAATCCAGAAATGAGGCAGATATTGTTTGGTTTTCCCATCGAACAGATAAATTTCTAGTGAGGAAGGTGTAGTTGACATTTTCAAAGTCTCTTGTTAAATCTCTTCCATTAACTCTAATTATCATTTCTTCAAAGAAATTGTCATGAGTCTTGTATGATGTTTGACAAAACATATTATACATTAGATATTAATCAGACAAAATTCACGATCAAAACGCTAAAAAATTGTAATAAGAATTATAATATATTGCTTTTACTTTGCTTATCTCGAGTCATGTCTATCTGCACTTTTGATCCAGTTTGGTCTTCAGCTACAAACGCGCTAAATATTGTAGCATTGGTGGTTGTTCCATTAGCTGTCGTTGCCAGGTCTGTCCTAGCTTGAAACTTAAATCGTACGGAATCCTTGTTTATTTTCATCATGGTATATTCTCCGTATCCATTAAATGTGTAATTTTTTCCATCGAGAGTCAGAATGTGTGGGTCACCAAAATTTACACCTAAGAAAGAAAACAAATACTACAGCTGTAGCATGTTGAAATACTTGAAAAGAGACTAGATAGGGATGCTTTTTGTCTGGCTTCCAGTTTATTTTTTTTTTGTGGTTGATTGAATATTTAGAAGCAATAAACAATAAAAAGAAGTGGATTACACTGGAACTGCTTTCCAAACTAAAAAAGATCTAGACTATGCCAACGATCTAACCAGAATTAAAAATTAATTAGGGTAAGACAAAGGGTGATGAAAATTCTAAAGAATGAGATTGCCAACAGACCAAAAAATAAAGAACTAGGACCATCAAGAAAGATCATGAAAGACTAGTTAATAAATTCCATCGTGAAAAAAGTGCGACAATGAAAGTGGACAGGCCATATTCTCTAAAGAGAAACTATTTCTAACTTAAGAATAGAAAAAAACATGGGTTCTAGATGTTGAAGAAAAAAGAAAGAGAGGAAGAGCAAACACCTAGAAGTGTGTAGTAAAGAAAGAGAGAGGGGGGAGAGAGGACTGAGTTTAGATCAAGATCAATTGGAGTCTTTTTAGGCCATAGGGATTGGAATTGTTATATAATAAAAACTTTCATAACAAAAGCTCAACGACGTGTCTAGATATACCTACAAAAATATTAAATAGTGACAGAATGTATTAATTTATTACCTTGATTGACCTTTGATATTTTTAAGATAGAAATACAGACACTGGGGACGGACAGATAGACTGTGATTAATATCATGCACTTGTAGTGAAATTAGGGGACAAAATTAATACTGGAACACCTGGTAAGGTGTGTAGATTGTTGCTAGTGACCGTTATTTGTTTCACAGCTTCATGCGTCTTCCGAGACACGGTGATGATAAGTACGTTTCTCAAATTACAGTTGAATATATAAAGAACCACTAATATTTTTCATACCATGATTCTTCGATAGGCGATTCAAAGTAATTGAACTAAATCTTTCAAAGGAAAAATGTGTCCTGAGCTTATATCATTTAGCTGTTAATGGAATGAAACATATGGGGATAACACACATTGTTCAAGATCAAAACTCCACAAAACAATGAAAAAAATAGGAGCATAGCAGACATGAACCTCAAAACATCAGGGGCGGGATCAGGTCCCATTGAAGAGTGACTATCCCCTGTCGACCGGTCACACCCGCCGTGTTCTCGTCATAATCGGAAAATAACGTCAAATCATTTGTATAAATTATGGACTATCAATGAGTATGAAAAACGTCAGTCAGCATTGGACTCAATGATAAATTACATATGCTGAGAAGGTCAATGTATCGACCATAGAACTTACAAAATGATGACTTTAAACGAAATTGCTGATATTCTTCTTTCATCAAATTGTTTGTCAATAATTCACCTTTTTTTATAGAAATTATTCATACGTAGAGCATACACTTGCGTATCTAATCAAGTGAGATAAATAAACTCCATATGCAGGCGATGAAAGTATATTGCTGCATAAATAACGGAAGTTAAAGATAGAAAAGTTAAAGACATCACGTTTATCATAGAGCTTGGTTGTTAGATTACCATAACGTCTTTTTCAACTAAAATATCCTAAATATAACCAAAAATTTCCTAGCTATTAATGAATCTGTATCCATATAAGGTTATTACATGTAGTTTTATTTATATTATTTCTTCTTACCAGGTTGAAAGGGCGACCTCCAATAACAAAATGGGATTGGACGCACTTCATAGTACCAATCACAATGTCCAGAGCTACAACACGCCTCCTTAGGTTTAAGGTCACTTTTACTGTACAGTTGTCGTTCAAAGAATGGGTTGTACTTCAAGAGAGTTCCAGCAACAGGTCTAAACCTCTCTAATGTACTTAAACTATTGATTGAACCATGCATTCTGTAACAGCATTCCTTCAAAAAACGGGAATTTTTATGTTGCTTCAAGATTTAAAATATACGAGGGTCATTCAAAAAGTTCTTAGACTTTTGTCCTAACTTTTTTTATTTAACGTCATATTATACCCAAATTTGGTACAAATATTTTAACAACAGATTCAAATAATTTGAGTAAAAAGTTGGAATGTATCTTCATATTTATTTAAATTACCAAGGATTTAGAACAGCAAAAATGGGGTCACGGAGCACCGTCAAAATTGAGTAATTTACTAATTTTCACTTTTTAGTAATTACAGCCATACCTCTAATAAATTGGGCTGAAACGAAATAGAATTTACATTTTTTAAATAAAGCATTGCTGTATTAATTAAAATGAAATCAGGTTATGTAATATGTCTCTCCGTTTTAAAGATATCAGCTTCTAAATACATATGGACTTGATTAAAATAAGCAAAAACCCATGACGTTGGAGGACGTCACGGAGCAGCAAGTAGCAATAAAACTGTACTATACATTCGGGAAACTTCTTCTCCAAGCTTAAAAAATCCGTATAAACCAGGATATGTGTGAAAAATAATCTGTGTATTTGTGTTAAATGGAAAATACAATTTTTAAGTGGTAACGAGTTTAAATCGGACGTTGGATTGTCTGCAAAGAAACAGGTTAAAGTTAAAAAATATTGTCGAAAGAGTTAGGAACGTCATTGGACGTGATGTGTGCTTCACTGTTGCAGAGTTAATAGAGTTACATGGTAAATTAAAAAATTTGAAAACAATTACATTCTTATTCAAGCTATATTTGTACCATTGTTCGCTAACTACAGTAGTTGTTAAGTGTTAATTATGGATATGATTTTTTTAATGGAGAAGAGGCTACAAACCGTGTTTGAAATTAAGAAAATTAGTATAATTTGGACAAAGTTTCTCAACGTTGTCTTTAACGTTACAATGTTGGGTAACAGTGCTCCGTGGTAACAAAACATGTTGGTTTAAATTTTGGCTAACATGAGTTCTATTTATTCAAATGGAATGAAACTTCACAATTCGACAAAATAAATGTTAATGTTTACAAAAATGTGTTGATGTAAAATCTTGTAATAAATATATGACGATGAGAAGCATTGTCTACGTATTTTTTGAATGACCCTCGTATTTGAAAATTGAAAATGAATATACATTCACAAAGTGAAAATTATAAAATCTAGGAGAATGTTTTGTAATGTTGACATTGAACGAATATTATTTGAAAATTGTTGACATGTTTTACAATTTTTTTTGCAATTGCTCTGATCACACCCACATGAAAAAAAAAGTATATAATATGATGACTTACTGCATTCCTTCCAAGTGTCATAGATGCGTAGCATAGAACTCTATTTTTTCTGTCGAATCTGTTAATGGCATATCTTGGATCAAATCTAAGCAGTCGGCTATCACAAGCACATTCAATTCTATTTAACATCGGGGATAACATAACGTTCGTATTTCTCTCTCTATTATTTGTATACCAGTCGTAGCAATCTTTTTCGTCTTTGTTCTTTGGAATCCCCGTAGTCATTTTGTAGATCCACAGTCCCTGAATTCCTAAAAAGTAACATTTTTTAATACCGTGGCTTTTATTTATTATTAGAAAAGTCAAACAGAAATATATTTCCTGATAAAATACAGATATTTTTAGGATGTTTATTCTTTTTAATTTGTAAAACTATACCTTTTTTATAGATAGTTTTTGACTGATCAGAATTTAGCAAGAGTTTTTTCACGTTGGCCGCCATATTGAAGGTGCAAATCTTCATATTCCTTTGTTGTTCAACTAATTTTAATTTTTTTTAATATCATCATTATTTTTCTGTAATATATACATTTTTGGAAGCCTCCTTTATTAAAAATAATATTTAATTAAGATTTTTCACCAAATAGTTCTGCTACATCCTTTTAAATTTATAAATTAAGACAATGAGGAAATATCATCAAGTCGACCCCCAATATGGCGATATCATGTTGTAGATTTTGAATTTACTAGGGGGAGGATTTTGCATTTACCTCCCCCTAGTAACTTCAAAATTTACAACATGATAGCGGCATCATAACTCCTGCTAAATTCAAGCCTGTCGAAAACTATCGATACAAGTAGCTAGTAAAATGAAACATAATGTTTTTATTTTAATAATTACCCCTGTTCCCTGGATTTTCACTCATTTGGAATGCAGCATCTTTGTTTGAAAAGGGGTTTTTGACAAAAAACGATTTATACTGATAACCCAAAGTAATTTTCTTCTCCTTTATTGGGTTTAGATTTACATCTATATAATATATAACTGTAAAAGTGTCTTCGCCATTTGTTATCAAAATACACTGGAATGTCACGCTCTAAAAAGAAATTTAGAATGTATAGATTATTAAAACTACATAAATGGCATTGATGTATTCTTGAAAAAGGTATCAAATTTCAATAATTTAGCCTTTAAAAAATCTAAAAAGATGTGTTTTCTTTCACTTGATATGCTGCATTTTAAAATTCACATATACTGTACACGTAGCTAAAATTTCTTCTTTTTATATAAAACCATCCATGACAGTGTATATCCTCTACTACATACAATGTAAATGTCACAGTTTTAATTAGATTATAATTATTCTTAAATACATGCTTTGCTGTTTTGCATAATATTTAGTACGTATTCTGATTGGCACGCATAGACAATCGAATACAACCGGTTTTTCAGTTTTGTGAAAGCCATGTGCGAGTGTTTTGTTTTGGTACAGGTAAATTTCAATTTTTACAATTCCTATACGTATTACTGACCAGTGACCTACCTTGGACCAGTGGATTTCACTATACTATTTTAAAGCATGTTTTACCAACTCGTGCACTACATGTATATAAAGTAAGAAACCCGCCACATATATACTCTACCCAAACTCTTCAGCCTTTACGGTAGCAACTCGCATTTTGTGTTATCTCAGATCGATACAATTGAAGTCAGTATATATAATATATTTGATATATTTCTGATTTTATACTGGATGCCTGGTATGACCTTCATTTATCATATATATCATTTACTTATTACATTAATTACATTAATTTTTTATGTAACGATCTACTGGCAGTCTTTTAAATATTTTAATTACCGTACGGTTACTTTTCCTTAATGTTGAAATGTTGAACTGTTTTTAAGCGGTTAGCTTCGCTAACCGCTTTATGGCATGTGTCCGATTTTTATCGACACCGGAAACTTCCATAAGGCGCTACCTATCGACAACAGAAACTTCAACAAAGCCTCTACCTAGTACCTATGATTTGTTTCTAACACATATAACATATGTTAAATAAAATCAAGACTATCAAAACAACATAATCTTTCGGTTTTTTAATTTTTTTCTGATTTTGAAATCGACACCGGAAACTTCCATAAGGCGCTACCTATCGACAACGGAAACTTCAACAAAGCCTCTAGCTAGTACCTATGATCATGCTCATGAACAATAAATATTTGACCGAATTATGCTACTGGGCACAGGGAGGACGGGTTAATTACTGGCTAAAGGGGTTGAAGGTTATTACCGACTGCAAAACATCGGAGAATCTCTCGATCGAGTTTCATTTTCCAAAATATTTAGGCATCCCTTTAATTAACTCAAGTAATACTAGTACACGAAGAAAGTCTTTATATAAAAGTACTGAATACATCTGTAAGTTGTACAGTTATGGATTACTTCCATAATGAAACGTTTGTATTCTTCTCCAAAATTTTTTTCTCAATTGAAATTATATAAAAGATGATAAAAGCTTTGTTTCCAGGGATAAATTCTGTACTCAGTCTAATTATTACAAACGATTTTAAACGATCACATTTTTATTTAAAAAAAAAAATAATGGGAGCCTGAAAATACTTAAATTAATTTTAAAAAATTGGAGAAAAAAATTTAATCGGCATTCGATCCTTTTCTAAAAATCAGCCGATATAAAATATGCACAGAAAAAAGAGGCATGAAAAATCTTGACGATAAGCACAAATTGAAAATTATATCTAATGAATGATTATTTTTGAAAGTTTGCTAAATTCCTATGCAAGGTATAAGTTGTAAAAATACTTTTTAAATTTGAATTTCTGCAATTCGTTAATTATCATTTTGAGCCTTTGAGAAAAAAAGAAAATTAAAATACAGATGCTTACAGACATATTGATAGAAATTCGCATAGTTTACTTGTTTTTACTAAAAGAAAAAACAAAAAAAAAACACAATGTATTGCTTATGCGACATATTGAAGAAAGTGACAATGATACCTAGGTAATTCTTGCAATGGACAATTAAATTGTTTGTTAAACACTGACTTCTAGTGAACCTTTGAATTTTTAAAATACTAGTATTGATGGATTAAACAACAACTTTCCTTTTCACACGGTTTTTTTTTTTTTTTTTTTTTTTTTTTTTACAATATTTCATGAAAAATATTTGCCAAATACTCAGTATATGTTCGTTTATACATATCGTGCAAGACTCTTTTTTAAATAATTGTCATATACCCTTTACTTATTCGAACATTTAATTGTATGAAAAGTCAATAATGTACATTTCTTAAAAATTTATTATCTTGTTTACTTGTCTTTCTTCCTGTGAGAGAAATACTAGTAGTTCATAATATTAATAAACAGATGTACTCAGTATCTGTATCAAAATACAGAATGAACAGTGATCGGTCTCAAAAGAAAAACGGATCCTTGAAAGTTCCGGTGCCTAGGAGAAGTAAGCATCCCCAATGACAGGTCACACCTGCTGACCCGCAGTGAGCCTACGAAACTGAAGCTCTCTGAAATTAATTAATTCTCTGCTCGTCCATCCGTTTTTCTCAGACTAGCCAGCTAAAGATCTATGTACAGTACTCCAAATCAATTAATCTAAAGAATTTGAATTATCATTTTATTTTCTTTTTGAGTTGTTTGCTATAGTAGCCTTTACAGCTACCTAATTTCAGAATCAATAGAGCATGAAAGCCAATTAAATTTGCAACATCAACATAATTTTTTTTTCGTTCTGAGCACTTTTGGACGCCACCAATGGAGACAATTAGGGAAAAATTTTTGAAATTGAACTTCCTGTCTTTCAAACTGAAAATCTCAGGTTGATATTTTGAAACAAAAATTTGTGACATCAGTCTGGGATGTTATTGGTTATACCATTTAGTTAAGTACTACAAAATTCAGTGTGTCTGCTTCTTCGCTGATGACACTGGAAAAAGATATGCATGCCTACTTTAATATCATGATTCAAAACATTTTTTGTTATTGTACACTGTACATATTCGATGAAAGCATGCTAACCGCTTTTCAGTACTTTCAGTACTTTGATTATGTTTCGTGTTTGTCTATGTGTATTGTTTTTGTATGAGTGTTGTAAATGTGTTTTCTATTTAATAGGTATTTCTCGATATCCATAACGAAAATCATAAGAAATCAAACCAGTTTTATTATAATTTTTCACACAAGAATGACATTGTGACATAAGCGTATGAATATTCTTGCTACATATCAAAGATGTTATCGTCGTTCCTGTCTGGGTGAAGTGATTAATACTGCAGTGCATATTTTGAGGTCACAACAGTAGAGTCTTGTTATCATCGGTTCGATTTTTATTGGATTTTTAAACAGAAAAAAATAGCACTTTTATGAGCATTAACATCGTTAACTGGGCACATATTTCGATACAGTTTTCTCCTCCAGGTTTATAATTGTAAGCAAAACTATAGCGCTACCTTTGATTTAAAATATTGAACCCCAAATCCCATAAAACAGTTAGTGCCATTAGCCTATATCATATAAGTTTAAGTTTTCAATATACATACAGTTAATCAAAATTTGATTGCACACAGAGTATACTCACCTGGGAATTGTCTCCAAACAAAGTCATGTTTACCCATGTAACCTTTAAAAGCCAGATAGCCTCAAACTCTGGAAAATCGTTGAATTGGAGTCGAATTAATTCACTGGCTTTTCCAATGAATAAATCATTTTCAGCATCTTTACCCCTTTAGAAAATAAAAAAAAACTAATTAATAAATAACGCATTTTCAGCAACCTTTCCCCTTTAAAAAGATTATTAAACTAATAAATTTACTGATCATATATGCATTTTTTGTAAAATCACATTTTTTCGTGGGGTCAAAATTTCGTGGTTTGAGGAAAATATACGAGTTCGTGGGGATTTGATTTCGTGGATGAAGAATTGTTGAGTAGTCATGCATATGCCATTTTACCTTTCGTGGTGGACATGAATTTGTGGGTATCTTCACACCTCGAAAACAACGAAAATTAAACCCCCACGAAAATTAGTGATTTCACAGTAATTCATTAACAATGAGCATATGACGGTGTGACCAGATTTGATTTTTTAAAAGAACTTTTGAGCCTAGATACTGTTTGTTAGTGTAATCTCAATTTATTTCCTTGATTTTAAATTAACATGTACCTTTCGTATGTATTATAGTAAACACTGCCTTTTGTTTCGTGAGTAAGAAGATCCGTCCAAAATGGACAAATTATATGTCTATCTTTCATCTCTGCACTGTTGATATCTTTTATTGCTACACTGTTGAAATCTTCACCAAGTCCTATTACACCATTAGTACCGACCTAGTATTATATATAATATCAGTTTTTTGTTTGTTACAAATTCTACCAATATTTACGATTGGTTATTGTTTTTCATATTTCATATACACGTATATGTATTTGAGAAAACTATCATGCAAAATTTAAAATTTATGATTACTAACGACGACGTAATTGAATCCACCATGGGATCCATCTCCAGCAAATATTTTTGTCGGAGACTTAAGGTGTGGGCTGGATTCATCATCTCCTTTCAACACAACATCTCTTTCCCCATAAGACATGTACGAGTGTCCATATGCTATAACGGTAAAGTTTAAGTATGCATATTACATTTTTCAGATATAATTTTCCATATTATATTTAAAAATTTAGTATTTATTAAAGACAGAAATTTCTGATATCCTAGACAACTACTTTTTAAAATATATGTTTGGTAAATTTTCATATATAAACTTACAAAACATTCTTTTTTTACACTCAAGTACCCCAAACTTTGTATTAAGGAGATGCTTTGACCTTTCACTTGACATGTAGATATATCATCGACCTTTTATTTATTTACAATGTTAATTTTAATTCCCATGATTCGGTACAATCCTAAACAAAACACGATAAAGCCTGACGACAAATATATTTCATACTTATATATTTTGCTAGAAAACGACATTGATGGCAAACTAAAAACTGAACTTTATGATAGATGTGATAACTACAACTTTCCTTTTTTTTCATTTACACTGTTTAATGAATCAACTCCATATAGAGCTTTGATTTCCAAGACAATTCGATACTCAAGAGAATATGCTTGAAACAAACAATGTCTAGAACAAAAGAAGCTATTGCGAAATAAGTTGATAATAAAAGGATATCATTATTCTTCTTAAGAAATGAAGATAATTTCAACTTATGTTATACGATATAACATAACTTGGGGCAGTTTACGCTTTATAAAACGCGAAGCGGTTTATAAAAAAGCGTAAACTGCCCCAAGTTATGTTATATCGTATAACATAAGTTGAAATAAGCATCATTCCTTATAATTTAATTTCGTGAAATGTAGACAAGGAGTAATACGTTTTTGAAGTAACTCATTGTGACGTAGGCAAGTTATGTTATACAAAATGGATAAAACCGTTTAACCAATCAAATGATGTGTTACAAATGAAATTAAATTATTTTACATTGTAATTCAAAGTCAAAATCTCGCAAATATTATGTTTGATTATACAAGACATTATACATGTCGACAAATGCAATCGATAGTTTGTCAAAATAACAATAATATCATTATTTTCATTCAGATTGTTAGAGCATTATTTTCAATTGGTTTGTCTGTGTATTTTTCCGTTTAAACGGTCACGATAAGGAGCATACAGCAGGTATGACCTGTTGATAGGGGCGGCCAATCCTCCATAGCACCTGAAATCACCTCAAAGCCTTTTAGAGGAAAGTTTATGTTCTCACAATCTGTCTATAGACGTTTGGGCTTGATTAGGCCATTCCTTTTTCTAAGTTTAGCGTCCGCGTGCGCTTTGGTTATTGACAACCCATATAAGAAAAAACACACAACATCAGGAGTCCTGAAATTGATTATTTTAGTCGAATTTTTTTAATTTTGTCAATTTCTCCAAATTATTCTGTACAGTAAATTATATTGGATGTATTTTAAGCATTTAGTCCCTTGTTTTTGCTTAAGAATAGATATTTCTTCTTTTAAAGCAGTTTAGTTAGATCAAATCATTTGTAGGGCATCATATTTATGACTTTTAATCCTGTGTTTTATGTTTTGGCATGTGTGTTTTTTGCGAATAGGTAGGTAGGTTTTTGAAAGATGGGTGGACGCTAAACAGAGAAAAAACTTGGAATGCCTTACTGTTCATTATCTTCACATTTCGTTAAAAAGAATTCCTACCCTGGAAATCGTAAAACATATAAAGGTCTGGTAAGAGTGGTTTTCTGTGAGCATAAATGATATACTTATTTATATTGCTATCAGGTTTAAATGAATTAACAATTGCGGACAGAATACCGCTTTGATGTTTATTTTTGCGGGGATATAATTTTTCAATATTATATCGATATATAAATTAAGATTAACAAAAAGACGTTAATTAAAGTACTTTTAGATCTTTTAACAGAATATTTGCAAATTTGTTTTTGTTTCATATGTCTGCTCAAGCTAACAAACCAAAGCAACAAGGAAAAGAGACCACTCATGCTTTTTGCAGATTTGAAAATTATGTGTGAAAATAAAATGAGATTTAAAAATTCATACTTTGATCTATTTCTATCCAATCCATAAAAGGTTCGCTTTTCCTTCTTCCATTCCAAGGACCGCTTGATATTGCTCCATAACTAACGGCAAAGATTGTTACATTATACGTAGATCCTGGATTTAGTTTTTTATCCCAGTATATCTCGGGAAGATTTCCTAAGGTTTGTTGCTGATGCCCATTAATTGTGACATTATAGTGATTGACAAGGGTGTTTTCTCCAGACGAATCCCATCTTAAATACAAATTACTAGCAGAAAAGTTGCTCAATTTTTGGTCTATTTTTCCAGGAGGAAAAAGATCTTCAAAAGTGAAAAAAATTAGAGTTTTCATTACAAAATAAAATACTTTTTAACATCATCCCAGATAGAAAGCTTACGTTGGGCCGATGTTGGAATATGGTTTGTAGATCGGCTACATATCGCGGTTGGCAGAACGATATTGGGCCAACATCGGTCCGACAATTGTCATTACAACAGTCGGTGCATTGACATTGTTCCAGCATCGGTCCGACATTTTAATTACAACAGTTGGTGCACTGACATTGTTCCAACGTCGAGCCAACATTGTTATTTTTAATGTTGAAGTATGGTCATCTTTGTAATGTTGGCTCGACATTGTTGAACCAATGTTGCTATGTAAACTTATAAGTTGAAACATTTAAAAAAATTATTTATTTTAACTTTTATTTATTTGTTTATTTATTCGTTTTTAATTATTTAACCCTTACGCAGATTTTTCAAAACTGTGGAATATAACTTTGAGATTTTTTTTTTAAACTGTCGACTAAGAGAATAATTACATCGGGATCGAAGTCGGGCTCGATAAGCAATTAATTTAAACAACACACCGCGCCGAAATTAAATTTTTTGGGGGTTCCGCGCAGCCTTGTTGATGTTGTACAGAAGGAAAGTTCGGAAGAGAGTGTCGCGAAAAGAAGAATCATGATTAGCTTTGGATGGAATTACGACCCGGTACTGCGGTAGGCACAATGTACGAAATTTTATTATGTGTCCTTGAATGAATAATTGCTTCTGCTACTGACTGTTCCTTCGTCAGGACACTACAAAATATAAAAGCTATAAAATGCCTGGCAGTGAAATCGTTTGAGCAAGCGTTACGCATTTCAATTTTGTTATAATAATTTAACACCTCTAAACATCTCTCATTATTAAAAAAAGCTATCATATTCAATGATGCACATGCATTATTTACAGGAATCTGAATGCTCGCAAGAAGGACAAAGCAGTATGAAAATTAACACAAAGGTAAGATTTCTTAAATTTTCATAAATAAAGCAATAAAATCACATGAATTGAAATTATCTTATAAGATAGATAAATTACATGTACCTTGTATCTTTTTCAGTGTTAGTCAGGCATAGAGCTTTAGCTCTAACCTTTTCTTTTTAGCTAACCTGAGCCATTTTAAGGCCCAAGCGAGTTTTCTAATCAGTGTCTGGTATTCGTCTGTCATCTGTAAACTTCTCAAATTTTTACATTTATCGGACCTAATCCTAATTTGAACCAAAAAATGCAAGATAGTGAATTTCTATTCTACACTATACTGAACTGTCAGGTTGAAAGAACCAATTGTCTTGTAAAGTCTTACTTTTAAATATTATTTGTCATATATTTATATGTGCGATATATATCGATGATAATAATACATCCTAATAGTAATCTTTTCTTTCAGAAATTGTGCCAGAAAAGTTTGAAGTGTCTATGGGAATGATCAACATCGAAATTGCTGAGCCTCGCTACTTAAAGTGAATCCGTTCGTGAAATGACCGGTTATTTGGCTACCCTCTAACATAACGTCATCTTTTATTTATTTATTATTGTGAATTTCATGGGATATCTGAGTGAGGAAGTGATTCAAGCAGACACTTGAGAAGTTTCGGAACTTCCTTAATTAGGATTCAAGAAAATAGCATGTGTTGATTTTATGGGATCTTTTAATTAAATAAATATATTTGTCTAGTAGATATTTTGTACTTGATACATGTGTTTGTCACTCTAGTCTAGTCATTAACTTTGTATGGTAAATGTACATGGGCAACTGGAAGTTCATTGTAACTGTATACCCTGCTGAGGTGGCCCAACGTTGGGCCAATGTAAGCTTGCTATCTGGGATAAAGCATACATACATGCACAAGTATATACTATGTACCACATAAGAAGTATTGAAGTTGTCCAAATATGAACGATATTTCTTCACCAAACTCCTTTACCTTCTAAAGAGTGAGTGGAATGAATAAAGTTATATTTTTTCTCATGACCTGACAGCTGGTGGTGACTTAAATACGTCATGCCCTCTATCTAAAGAATTTATTTACAGACAAAGCTATATCATCTAGGTCATAACTACATTGATAGTTAAGATTGTGATTTTGAAGGGCAGCATGCTGAAAAAAAAAATACAAAGTAAATTTTGCTTGAAATTTTCAACAGATTCTCTTTATGAATATTATTTATACTTTTATATTCTTAAATATTACAAATGACAATTCAAAACCGAAAATATCATTTTAGCAAAGAAAGGACAATTTATCATTCCATGACCTAGGGTCATATGAAAATTAACAAATTTGAATCAAAAGTTTATATTATATGAAACATGTTCATGTATTTTCACTATTTTGTGTTTTTTAATTTGATATTTTTTAGACAAAGACTTAAAATAATTTGAATTCAAATTCATGTATTTGAAATTTTAACAACTATTTAAAAGAGTTGCGTCCCTTTATATTAACAAATTACACAATCTTCGACCAAATAATGTCTTATGACGTTTGATCAAATGCCCCTTACAAAAATTTACTATATAAAATTAAAGTTTATTTAAGGTAGAACCTTTGTCGGAAAAGTCTTTATCACAAGCTTTTCAAACTTTTAAAAATGATAAATTAGTACTTGCTTATCAGTCAGGTAATATTTCATGACGTTTCCTAATTATAAATCTAGTACAGCCTGTGAAACTTGGAATAGTAATTAGATACTGTGGCTACACAATTTCAGTTTTTATGGGTACTTGTCAAGAAGAGAGTATGAAAAATCACAAAAATACTTCTTCAGATATTATACAATTATTGCTGTTTTTGAGGTCAATACAATGATTTAGCCATCTGAGGAGTACAATATTCACCGAGCCCGAAGGGCGAGGTGAATATTGTACTTCGAAGATGGCTAAATCATTGTATTGACCGAAAAAACAGCAATAATTGTTTTATTATATGATTCACTGATAAAATGATACAGCCCATTGCTTGTTCGCATTTAATTAAGTCCTAGCCAAGTAAAGAGAGAAGCAGAATTAAAATGTAAATAAACTTTACCAGTCGTATGAACATGAAATAATTTTTATCAATTTTAGTTGTCATGAAAAAATTATACAATATCAGTCTTTTTTATAGGATAGACTTTGAAAGGAAGGAGTATTATCAGGGAAAAAATGACTGCCAAAAAGTAAATATTGTTGTTCAGTAAAAATGTTGGAGGAGGTCCCTGCATCCCCTCTTACCACCCTCACCTAAAATATATATTCACATATGTTTTGTTCACATGAAAAAAAGTCATAGTCCTTTAAATAGCTTTCAAAAACAATTTGTATCAATTTGGAATTTCCCAATCTATTTTTAGATCAATGTAGAGGAAATAAATCTTTGTATTCACCTGGAACGTCACGTGCAGGTCAATACAACATAATATTTTTCTAACATAGTTGGATCTCAGCCAATCAGAGATATGAAAATTATTCAATCATATGATAAAGTCATTTATTGACTTTATTAACTGAACGGTATTAAGCAATATCTCTCAAGAATAATTTCTTTTTTATTCAATTCACATAAAGGATAAGTCCACATTTTAAAAAATAAGCAAATGAAAGTTTTAAGTCAATTCTCACCCAACATTTGTAAATATTTTTTTCAGAAGTCTCTGTCACAATGTTTTCAATCTTTAATATGACGAAGAACATACCCAAATGATCACAAAAAGTTATGAAAGTCAGCAAAACTTGGTTATAACGAAGTCACTGGGACCTGTGAAATTTCTTCGCTATATCCGTTATTCGTTATAACAGTATAAGAAAGTCACTAAATTTATATATCTTGGGATCCAAGATGACTTTGCTATATCCGTAAATTCGCAATATCCGTGTTCGTACTAAACGAGTTTTGCTGTATACCTTTCGCTGCCAACTAATGAGAAATAGGTTATTATTTTAACGTTTATCAGACATTGTAATTTTTTTTATTTTAAAAAGATCATATTGGAGAGAAAAATTTACGCTACCTCAGGATGCTTCCACAAAAGTTTCAGCTTTTCTGGTCCCATGGTTCTTGATAAGAATTTTAAAGATTTTTTCCTATATATTTTAATGTGAACATTTGATTCTTTAATTTATTGCTTCTCGCATGGGGTAATGATCTGAAAAAATTAGAATTTACAATACCCCAGGATGTTTTCTCATAATTTCAGCTTATCTGACCCACTGGTTCCTGAGAAGATTTTAACGAATTTTTTTCAATATTTCAATGTGAAAATTGGATTCCCTATTGTGGTGAGCTAAAAATAGTTACATTGTACCATTATATATATCGTTGATTAAAGTGCACTACAGTTAACTTCAGCATTTTGTAAGGGGTTTCCGATTGATTCTGGATTAAGAGCAGAAAGTATAAGTCTACAAACGGACAGACAAGCAAACCTGAACTTTGGACCAGTTGAGCGAAAATAATTTGAATCATATTGTATTTTCATTTTATATTTAATAAGAAATAGAAAGAAGTTTAGAAAGAAATAAGAAATCATATAAAAAGTTTGTTTAAAATAGGCTTATATAGAGTGAAAGTGAATATATACTACCTAGAATAAACCTTGATGAGCTCCTGTATGCATAAACAGTTTCAGTAGGGCTGTTTAGTAATACTTTGGATGCAATGCTGAAGTAGTATAAACGACCGGGTTGAAGTGTACATAATGTTGAGTACTCTGTAACATTTCCAACGTATATGGTGTATTCATGTTGCCAGTATGAAGAACGGGTGCCTTGTAAGGAATACAATGTAACCTGGAAACCGGATATGAGAGTGACGTCAACTGATTGGTGTCTCCATTTAACAGTGGCTTGGCATTTACTTCCTTCAACTCCAAGAATATAGGGCTCTACATAACGTCCTATCAATAAGATAAAGATAAAACATGTTTATACACTGTAAAAAATTTGGTAAGTAAAATCCAAAATTATTTTTTTTTTTTGCTTGCAAATTAATTCCCACATTAACATATAAATAAATGTATCTTGTACATATTTATACAAAAAAAATCTTTTATACTTGTCATTTATAATATCTTTCACATGTTTTATTCAAACTAAAGCACATTTTAGGTCTCTGGAGTGAAAAAAGAAATTAAGATGTAGGTTTTTTCAATTCATTTGATTAATTAAAAAAAATGTTAATATTACAAAAGAAATGTTCGATTTCCTTGTAAACTTACATGTAATATGCCTTCATCTTTTAAGGTTTTAGAGTAAAAAATTAATGAAGAAATATCACTTTAGTAAAGTGTATATCACTGTGTACAGTTTTTTTTAATATTAATATGCAATTTCACTAGAACATTTTTAGCAAACTATTCGATAAACTACAGATATTCCGTGCACTGAGCTAACAAAATGACATCCCCGCCTTCAACGGTTGGGGGGAAACGTAAATTCCGCTATAATAGTGGTATCTCACTATTATAGTGAAATTACGCTATATTTCCTGCCGTAGATACCCTCAGTTTTATCCGATATCATGCAAGGTGTTTGAACCGCAAGTCATGGTGGGTATTAAAATGATCAAAAGCACGCAAGCTTGTTTTGAATTTTAATCAATTTTTTACCGTTGCGTTTAATAATGCGAGCATTCTTTTTTTAACATAGCAACCGATGATTACAGGATATTTAAGCTTGTTTGAATCTCATTTATTCCTCATTAAAGTGCACAAATTGATGCTTGTTACAATTGTCAACTCGGACTGGAAAGAGTTTATGGAATTAAACAAGAAAAAGATTTCTGTCTGCATGGTTACGGGTTTGGAAGCTCGTTATGGTAAACGTAAAGACCCAATATGGCAAACATAAAAAAGAGTATATTGATAAACTCGATTATATCTTCTTAACAAAATCAATTTATAATAAATAATCCAAAAATTACTTATAAAAGCGATCGTAGAAAAAATATCTAATTTTTGATTTTGGCTTAATTGTTAATTGTTTATTTCAGAATAAAAGACTGAATTTATTTTGGTGTCGGGAATAGTTTACAAGAGTGCCTGTAACCTTATTTTAACACATGTTCAAATAATTATTAATTGACAATCATTTCAACTCTGCACAAACATATCTTATTTATTAACGCTTTATGTTTATGCACTTAGGCAAGAACGATTTAACTTTAAAATCTGAGAGAAATGGCTTTAGGTTATTTTTCTTGTTATTCGAAAAATATATAAATCTAATTATATGCATATGAAATGAAAGTATATTGCAAAAAATCGCACTAAAAGTATCAATTTTTCAGACTTCTAGATTTATACCAAAGTGTTGCTGTTTAAACCACGAGGAAACACCAAATAACCAATCGCTACTGCTCAATATTCAGCAAAAAGTGTCTAAAATATCATTGACTCTATACAAATTTTCAATAAATAAAAATTTATGCAAAAGATCAAATCGGTCGCAAACAATTTAGCACTTGTTAAAAAAAGTACTTTCACAGTTTTGAAAGCATATCCATGCAATGGAAGTACAAGATATTCAAAGCTGAACTGGAATCTAGAAGCGTATATTTTCATCTTCAATAAATTCTTAATATTATTCATCATTGACTTTATTACATCGACGAGTCCATCTGATGAGCAAATGCATTAAAATCTCTATTTACTTATCTTTTTTTCAAAAATTTATTTATATTGATTTAATCTGAAGACAGTCAAAAATTAAAAAGACCGAACCTCGTGCAGATACCCTGGAACTTTATCACGTGATAATGCCCTTGGTTTCTGCAGAATAGGCTATGCTGCATGGCGCTTTGCAAAATGTAGAAAAAAGTATCCTTGTATCATTCGCAGCTGTAACATATTAAAAACAACTTTTACTAGTTGAACAGTTTTTCAATTTTTTTAACCATGCACTATGTACCACATCATTACTATCAGGAAAATAATAATTGCCTTTTATATCTATATTGTACCTTTTGTAAACTCTTTTTATATAGTCAAAATTATCAAATTTCTTGATGAGAAATGACAATGAAATTGAAACATTATAACTACAATTAATATTTAGTTTAAAGCAAATTTTACTTATGATTTTCTACATGATATCAAAGAAGAATTATTTTACTGAACTATTACAAAAATAACTTCTCATTTTCCATGTGCACTATCTAACACAATCACAAGAAGATCGGCCGCAGCAGCGGCGACCGATAATAAAGGATCTTTACGTTTACCATAACGGGACTTAATACCCATAAACATGCAGACAGAAATAATCTTTTTCTTGTTTAATTCCATAAACCCTTTCCAGTCCGAGTTGATAATTGTAACAAGCATCAATTTGTGCACTTTAATGAGGAATAAATGAGATTCAAACAAGCTTAAATACCCTATAATCATCGGTTGCTATGTTAAAAATGCAACTTCTGTCAAAAAAAGAATGCTCGCATTATTAAACGCAACGGTAAAAAATTTATTAAAATTCAAAACATGCAAGCATGACAGCTTTTGATCATATTAATACCCACCATGACTTGCGGTTCAAAAACCTTGCATGGTATCGGATGAAATTGAGGGTATCTACGGCAGGAAATACAGCGTAATTTCACTATAATAGTGAGATACCACTATTATAGCGGAATTAACGTTTCCCCACATCTGTTCAAAACTATTATAACGACAAAGTTCTTGTTTTCCTATAGGAAAACAGAAATAAGAGTATGATCAAAAAGTAAAATAAAAGATGCATAATGGTTTTATGTTATAAAGGTGTGAAAGTCCCCTTAAATTTCAATCAGTGGTACAAGAAGAGTTGCGGATAGGAGATGGGTACCCCGAAGCGTAACGGACGGCGTACAGCACGACGGACGGACAGACACAACCCATCACTAGTTATCCCCTGCTTTTCAAGCGGGGTGTATAGTTAAACAAATACAAACTGCGATGGCAAACTGAGTCTTTGTGATAGTAGGAACCCGAGCATAAACATGATAATGTTTGATGAAGATAACGACATCTGAGATGCTTGTTTGGTTCACACTCCCTACTCTCGCTGCAGTTCTCCTGGAACTTAAGACCTAAAATGAAAAATTTCTGTTTTAACCATATGAATAATTTCTTAAATCATATTCATTTGCAATGGACATCCAAACAAAAACTGACACAATATTACAAAAAAAAATAAAACAGTTATATTGAATTCCCTCACCTTTAAACCATTGTGAACTTTCTACTCAAATTAATGTATGTGTAATCAAGAATAAAAATCAACCGATTTAATCAATTCAAGAATTGGCTCTTCCATTTCTATGGAAGATCATCTATAATTATATATAATTTCTTACAATGCAGTGCTATTTATTTTTAAATTACTCTGCTTGAATTACATACTTCCATAAAGATAAACATATATCAGTTCGCTTGTTCCCCATCCTTCTGAATTGTGTGCCAGACATCTATACCTGGAGTCATGCTCATTATAAAAATCCACCATGTTAATGACAAGTTTTGGCTTGAAAAGGTCAAGACTACTGCCGTTGTACCTCGTGTCAGTGATATTTATATCCATCGTGTATCCATTACGAATCCGTTGCCACTTCGTTTCATTAGTTGCTGGTAAATCCGTGCGATTTATACTAACGGAAGCTCCGATTTCGACTGTTGATAGAAATGGTATGTTGAAGGATGATTGGCTGCGTATAACCTTTGGAGTGCCTAAATATAAAGATCATCATCAACCAAAAGATTGAAATGGAAAATGACAAATAAAATTAATGAATTCATAAACACATACGCAGTGTTTCTATTTGCTCGATATATCCTGTGCTCTCTTTTTCAAAGTAATTGTTATACCAGCTTCTTGCTCTAATTGTAACAGAATAGTTTTCACCAGGCTCTAATCTTTCTGGCCATGTGTAAATGTTCGAATACGGATAATTATAGCCATGATAGCCAGCTCCGTTGATATCTACTCTGTATCTGTCTACGTAAGTATTATTCTTTGGAACAGCCCATTTGAGATAAAGTCTTTCTGGATGAAAGTCACTAGCATTTACGTCTAATGGACCAGGAGGCAGAGGATCTAGAAAATATCATAAACCTTTTCAAAGAAATAAAGCGCAAAAAATTACATCATTTTACATGCAAATAGAATGTCAAAAATACATACTAGTATACATATTTAGCAAAGGTAAACACATACCTACGACAAGTGGTATCCAAGATGTGGTAACATTAATTATTTCTGTTGGGTCGTTAAGTAGAACAGTAGAGGTAATGTAAAAGTAAAACAAATATCCAGGAGTAAAATATGATTCGAACGTGTGGTTATTTTTTCTTCCAACAGATATATGCCTATTATAAGATCCCCAGTAATCTCTAAGTGAGACAGTGTAATACTGGATGAGATTGGAATCCGAAGACGGATCATCCCACCAAACGGTGATACGTGATGTAGTTATCTCGGATCCTCTGTAGACAGCCCTCAAGTTACCTCCTATAATTAGAAACAAAAAAATTGTGTCATATAGAGTACACAAAAAGAACAAAAAGAGTGTAACAGTTTTAAATTAGAACTTTACTTACTATTAAAACATATTTCGTTCCTGTGATAAGTGTAGCTGGCACACATACATGATCTGTATTTTGTAGAACATTCTAAATGGTATCTCTGATCGCATTCTTTTGTCATGTTGCATGAATCATTAAACCGTAATACTAAAAAGGAAGAAATATTTTAACATCTACAAAATAAAACTTAGTGTGCAATATTGGGGAAAAAACAATTCCAGATACTCTCTCTCTCTCAACCCAATAGCAACAATGAATAATTTTTTAGTTCGTACTAGCCCTTGTTTACCAAACTTACTCTTTCTCGAAAATTAAAAAAATAATAATAACATACTTCCTTTTACTTCTAATCTAATCGTATTGCCATGACACCATCCACCAGATATTCGAACTTGAAGTTGATACCTCACTTCATCCTCAAAAGTAATGTTATTAATCCTGAGTAGCGGATGGGGCAAATGTTTACTTCCAGCGTATTTATCTTTGTTGATGTTAATGACTTCAGTTTTATCATGCCCTATTTTCAGCCATATTGCAAAGATAGCTGGTTCCGAATAGGACTCCACAGTGCCTGTATATGAAACTGATTGTCCGAAAAATTCTGATATAAATTCGGGAGTAGCAATGACGAGTGGACACCCTGAAAATAAAACATAATACATGCATAGACATATAATTAATTGGAGCTGGTGAGATTTAATTTTTTTTTTATAATTTCTATGGGTTAAAATATATAATGCTTTGAAAGTCCAAAAAACATGGGTCAACCAGCTACAGATTAAAAAATTACTTCTTCATTTTTTTAAAAATAATTTTATACTTACGTCACAAAGAAAATCGTAGAGCTATTTACTGAGTACGTTAAAAGATTATTCCTTCCTTTTGGAATTTTAAAAAGAACCTTTTTTTTGTGCAGACAAGTTTAACTGTGAATTTTGAAATTTTCAGAAAATTCTGCAGAGTTACATAGCTATGAATGCCAAAAACCAATACCTGTTTACTTAATTTTTGTATATCCGATGAAAAGCTACGTAACAGTAAGATCATATGAAGAGAAATCTTCGTCATGAAGAATGGGCGGAGCGAGGAGGAGCCCATTCTTCGTGACGAAGATTTCTCTTCATCTGTTCATATAATTTTACTATTACTAGAACAGAACCTCAGCCAATCAAATAAATGGATTAAAAATAAACTCCTCTCATGCTGTGTCATAAATGATGCTCACCTTGGCCGCTCGTTGTACATATCGAGCACTCAATCAATATCGAAAACACGCGGTTTCAAAATGAACTCCAACCCATTCAGGTTAGCACGGGATTATATGAAATTGCATGAAAAGATCTTTAGTGGGGAAATGGTATGGTTAAGATATTAAAGCTACTGAACTAATGAATTATATTCTTGTAACAAGAATCGTAATATCTATATTTGTGAAAAATGATTGTATTAAAATAACAAGGCCCTAGTCAGCAGGAGTGGGTATCGCTTCCTAGGGTGAAATAAAAAAATTGATAAAAATTTTAATTGTGACTTAAATCTGTCTTCAAAGACAAGGTTCGTCTCTGATATACATGACGATGGTTTTATTTTCTGTATGTACCGAAATGGGAAAAAATATTCAGAAAGGCAACAAAAGATTACAGTGGAATAAAGGTGAAGCAATGCCTAGAGAGTTAAAATATCATTGTAAACAGCTCGTGGATTTTGAATAGTTTGTTTTTGTGTGCTAAACAAGAACCAACGAAAACACACCCATATAGCTGTCAAGTCAACTAATCAGACACCGTTAAATATTTCAGAAATGGAAGAATTCCTCACCATGAAGAATCAATTCTTCGCGGTAAATGGAAGCATTTGATTGGCTGAATAAATAGGTTATGTTCTAATGTGGTATTTCAAATGATAACGCATATATCCCGGTATCTTTAAATTTCCGTTAATATGTTACACAAATAGTTTTCTACTATTTATTCAATACACAAAGTTATATCCTTAACTATTATATTAAATTGTCATTTTTTCTACTTTATATAGTCTTACATGAAATGTTAGCAGTGACCATCAATTGAAGATCCGTGGTTGTGACAGGGTAGCTGGTCGTTGATGTTGACAAGTAACTGGGACTGATTGTTTCATTTTCGGTTATCAAATTTGTATATCCAAAATTAGAAGTGCCACTTAAAGTTGGTAGCTCACTGCTTGATTGTACTTTTGTGGTACTTGTTGTTGCAGAGGGATATGACGTGACAGTAGATTCATGATTATCCATGTTTTCCTCTGTTATGAAACTTTCAGTTGTTGAACTTGATGGTGTGTTATCAGATATCTGATGAGTATTTAGAGAAGAAAAACTTTTTTCAGAAGTTTCGGATATTTTTGTCGACTGGGATTCATCATACTCGCTGTCGGTGGAGGATTCTGGAGTTAAAACTGTTGTTGTTGGTTTTGATGGAGTTGTAGGATTTTCTGCGAATGACCTTTCTGAAGTATCCTCTGATGAAGTAATTTTCGGTGAGGTGTTTGACGGAGATTGATAATTAAGCAAAGGTGTTGTGTTTTCATCAAGTTCTTCGGTGGTTGTTTCCATACTCATAGAAATGTTTACACCTGTGGTTGCATTCGAAGGGATATTTTCCATTTGTAATTTGTCATCGACAACAGGAAGCGCAGTTATGTCTTCTACACACTTCAAACTTATGCAGAGCAGAAGTAGATCAAAGGCACACACCCTTGTGGTTTGTCGTACCTTTTGACAAAGATTCATGGTGCCTAAAATGGTTTTGTAGAAGTCGGCATTTCAAATTAAAAAAATAAATCTGTCATGAATGGATATATTTTTAAAATACTTATCTATATATATTCTCTTTAATTATTTCAAAAATCAATGCTTATGTGTCATCTACTGATACAACTACGATTTTGGAAACGTTTTTTAAAATTAAAAAATTAAAATTAATATATGGGTTTATCGTAAGAAGTATTTTGCGATAGAGAAGAGTATGATCACTGTTTCGATTTCACTGACATCGTTTAATTTGTTGAACATCTTCAAAGCCTACCAAACAACGTACATAAAAATACATGTATGTTTGCAATTGGCATCTAAGTATTATGCCTCCCGATCATTCCTCTTAAAAGGAATACTTGTTTTAACTGTATATCTCTGCAAAAAAGCTTGTTTTTTTAATCCATTCCCCCTCTCTCAAATGACTAATGGTATCAACACAATATTTTCTAATTTTTTTTTTAATTTTATGATAGAACACACAAAAAGAAGTAAAGCGCGCTTTCCAGTACTTTGCATACTACCACGTTTAACTGGAAAATACATGTTACTGTGTAAATAGATTTAGGTGGTGCATTGGTTTACTAAACCAAAATATGAAAAAAATGGAACTACCTCTGCATGTATATTTAATTTATTTAAAGGGCCATGGGTATAGTTTCAATTTTTTTAACCAATTTTTATGTTTACAATTCTTAATCAAGGCAATTCAAATGATCAGCGAAAATTTGAACATCATTTGTTGATTTACAAAGAAGATACAGAACTTTAAATTCTTCATAATTTAAACACGGCTAATCTTGTTTTGTTTACATATAGAAAATATGATATTTATAACAAAAGAAGATTTAGTAAATCACAAAAAACTGTGTAATGGTATTTAGAATTAAGTTATTTATTGAAAAAGCTGCTTTTAACGGACATATATTAGTATATTTAAACTATGTAAACAAAAACACGACAAAAACCTTCTTTAGATAACAAAGGGTTTGAGTTTAAAGTCTGTCTTGTATTTTGACAACTGAAATTCAAACTTTTGATAATCATAAAAAAGTATTTGCAAACATTAAAAAAAACGGGAAAAAGAAATTTGAAAATATTCAACTGAACCTGCGTCCGTGTCCCTTTAAGATAATTTACTGTAAACTTGTGCCTTGATTCGGGCTATTAATTTCTATTTACAAGAAACTAACAAATACAATACATTTACGGGGTTATTCTCTTCGGTAAATTTATACACGTATCACTTAAATCGAATAAAATATTTTTTTTATTATTTTAATTTGTTTGGTTTTTTATGACATTCTATAGATCATTTCATGACTGTTGAAAAGAATTTTGATATCATGAAAGATTTCTATCTTCGTTTCGATAACTGCTGCTGCATCTTACGTCTGTACGTCGTCACCGTTTTGTTTATGTGCCTCTTTCAAAATAGTCAAAACTCCCATTTCATATACTTAATCAGTTAATATTTAATCCATTTGTACATGGTTTGCAGACAGACTTGAACAAAATCTACATATAATTAATATTAAACTTTTTCTGTTGTGAATATTATATTTTTAAAAATTTTTATTAAAATCTTCGAGATTAAGTTAAACAAAATGATTAAATTAGCACTAATAACTATCATTTATAGAAAAAAAATCCGGAAATTGAGTGTAAATTCCTAAGGATACGCGTGGTATTAAGTATCGCGTAATTTCGCGAGAAGCACCACACGCGAAATAAAATTACTTGCCTTTATACATGTAATCATGGTGCTGAAATCTATGTATGTATTCTTAATCAGCCGTCTATTCGCGAAAAATTATTCTCGCGATTTGCCGTTGAAGAGACCATTCGTGATAATAAGCACTCGCGAAAAATAAGGAATCTACAGTAATTACAAATAATGCCTATTTTGTTTATATACAGCATTTTGGAAAAAAAAGGATAAGTGCGTTTTAAAAAATATTGATTTTTAATATGTAGACCAAGTTAAACCAAAATAAAATTAATATAACGGATATCAAAAGAACATAACCCTCTCAAAGTGTCTCTTGTTTTATAGTTGATTTAAATACTTGAATCTAAATTTTCTAATGCTCACCCGGGAGTTCTCCTTATATCCCATGCAAATGTTAAAATATCATTGATAATCTTGGAGATAATTATGAATTTTGCCAGGCAAATAAAATATTGAAATAATTTGGATGATTGTAAACGCTATATCTCTTTGAAATGTATAAGACCTGCCTCCCTTTCCTGTTGATAATTTAGATTACCAAGTGTCAGTTTAAAAAGTAAGCATTATCTAGACTTAGGTATGAGATAGTTTCATGATCCTTGTTTTGTGATAGAACAAACAAAGACTTGATATATTATTTTTTGAAAAAGCTGCCCCTTTCATTCTGTTAATTTAATTCTCGAAGGATATCACTGGTAGCCTGCTTCTTCATCAGCAATGGAGGAAAACGTCATGTAAGATTCACCAGTAAAATTAAGTCATTGAACTGATGTGCATAAACAATCTTCAGCTTGAAGTGAAATATCAGTATCTATTTATCGGATATTAAATTATAGATTTCATTTAATTATTAAATGCATGTTAATGTTTTTAAAGCAATATACTAACATAATACATAGCAACATGAATATTCTTCACAAAAATATTAGACTTCTTTCTTTATAATCTGAACTGAGCAGTACAAAAAGTAAAGATAGATTTTAAAAAAAAACCTGGTTTATCACATTCCTTAATATCCTCTTATTAAAAATCCTAGATTGAATCAATAGCAAAAATACATTTCATTTACTTTATGCTTTAGAATAAAAATAGGACAACAATCCTCGATGACAGAATGAAATTACAATACTCTCAACCTCGTAATCTTTATAAATATTTAGAGAAAGGAAGTTTAATTTGCTTCAGTAATTCTTGTTTGTGTAGATTACACTATTAGGTCTAAATCTTAAACTTCAATTTTGATAAATTATTTAAAATGTGTAAGAAAGTACAAAAAAAAGAAAGATTTTTTTTTACTTCAATGAACAATACTTATGTATGGTCCAGTGTGTTTGTTTTATAGCAAACATGCATATGAATCAAAGACCGAACGGAGCTTTTCTGAGTTAAGTTTATCTGTGGTTTTCCTGTCTATCTGTAATTTCTATGTAATGTATCTCAATCAAGGCCACAAGAGGAGACTAACGTTTTAAAATCCACTTGTGACATCACTTTATTTTTCGAGCGCTCCCAATCGCATCTTCTCAGGCCTTTCCCGCAAGCTCGTAAAATCATCTCTAATGTATAATCGAATGTTTTCAACATAACTTCACACTCTTAAACTCCTAATAGATTCATTTTGACTTTTCTCTTATAATTTCATATATATGTGCAGATATATGCACTGTGGTCCGTGTAACACATAATAGGTAATTCAATTACCTAAAATGGTTTAGAATTTGATACATATGGTAAAATTCAAACAAATTTCGTACAGTGACTTTAATATTTTATTTCAAAAAACTAAAATTGAAAATTTTAAAACACATTTTGAAATGTTACATTCTTAGATTTTGACCCCCAATATTCAAAATTCAATTTTCCGATTTGATATTTTAAACTCTTTAGTTTTTAATCCATCGTTTGTTCAGAAAAGGACAAGATAGGGTAACAGCCGAATCTGGCCCCTTATTTGATGTAAAAATCAGAACACTGGTAAAATTGTGATAGTTTCTAGTTAAGAAGTTAAAATGGTGCTTACTTTAAAACAAGCACCAATTTTGATTCAAAGCTTACAGGGAAGCCACTAGAGGGTGCAGAAATAGGGCATTTTTCAGTTTCCTCAATTCTGGTTGAATTTCATCATATTTTGGATACATTTCTCTTCGGAAAACATAGAGCACAAGCTTGCCTATCTGAGATTTTTACACAGTACAAAAACTGCATCTGATACAAGTGTATAAAATATATAAATTTGGTAGATAGGCAAGCGTGTGCTCAATTTTTTCCGAAAGAAAATGTGCTGTAAAATTGATGAAAATTTGCATAAAAATGAGAAATGTAAAAAATTGACCTGTTTCCTGACCCCACTGTGACCACTATATATTCTAAATCTTAAAACCAATACTCATTTTGTGGCAGGGGTGACAACAGGTTTTTATGGATAAACTGTTTAATCATTCTGAAAGACACCCAAAATCGGGGACCAAATACTGATCTTACCCTATCTTGTCCTTTACATTTAACAACCAATGGTTCCGTAACATTTTACGTCAATAGTTTAAACTTTTTACTTCAAACTTCTGAATTGAAATTTTTGAAACATTTTAAATTGTTTGAAGTAGAAAATTTTGAGTCTAACACTTTCCAATACCAAAAGTTCTTTGAGGTTTTAGAATTTTACTTCATGTTTATGTTTCCAAATTTTCAAACTCCATTTGAATTTTGAAACAAGGTCTGTATCGGGTTTTAATTTTTATGTTTCCTAAATAGCAAATTTTCAAACTCGATTTGAATTTTGAAACAAGGTCTGTATCAATTCAATATTTTAATTATTTTTAAAAGCTCTTTTGCTTGACCAAAAGTGTTTTGATAGAGTTTCAAATTTCAAACCGGGTTTTAATTTTGATGTTTTGGAAATTTAAGTGTTTGAAGAAAAAAAACACATTAAAATGTTTTGAGAGTTGAAATTTAGATTGAAGTGATATTTTTTTTTACAAATGTTGATAACTGTCGATTTCACATCCAGTTTCAATCACTCTGAAATGCTAAAGTTGATATTGAATTTATTTTTATTAAACAATATTTCAAACTTAAGATAGAGTACAGTTATAAACGATAATTCTATTAGTCAATAGTGTATTTTAAAGAACATTGTCTTTCATTTCATTTTTATTAGTAAATGTAAAAAAGAATGATATATATATATATATATATATATATATATATATATATATATATATATCTGTTGATATGAAATTGATATGCAAGTTGTAGTTAATTGATTCA